TTCGAGAAGAGGGTTCCGTGGAACTACAACAGCTGCAGCCTGCAACAAGAAGTGTTCCCGGTGATCGCGGCGTTCTGGACGAACATCGATGCTTGGTACTGGGGCGGCGATATTTTCTATCGGCAGACCATGGAAAGCACCGTCTTGCGGAAAGCCAACGACGAAATTCATGCAGCTTTTCCGGAATTTCGGCAACTTGGAATGCAGTGGGCGTTCGTCGTGACGTGGTTCCAATTGAGTGCGTGCGAACTCGACCGGCAATTATTCTACGATAGAATCCGAAGGAACAACTTTCAGGCGGTAATAACAACAGACGGGCGGCAGTCCTTCGCAATTTTCTACTACGACACCATCAATTGGACGAAGGGGTCCTGCCTCAATACCACCCACCCGAAGATCGGGTTCGACGCTGGAGACGGCGACCCGAAACACATTTACACTCTCAAAGAGTCCTGCACTTCGGAGGTGCGGAAAGTCGCAACGATGTCCAATTATGATCACCCCGGGAAATTCGTGTTTCGCGTCGATGGAGGATCTGGTCTCTCCACCGCCTGCGACGATTCCAACTTCGAAAATCGTCCTCTGATCGCCAAACCACCTTATGTTTCGGCCTACGGTCACGAGACGGTGCTGTTCGAAGGACCCTGCTTCGAAGAAGACGCAAACATAACGTGCATTTTCAAAGATCCGCGGAAAGGCGACTTCGTCGTACGCGGCAACGTGGTCGACAAGGACACGGTTGCCTGCTTCACGCCGTTTTTCTATGGACTCGGACGCATGCACGTGGAGGTCGTGTCCCGGGTCGGTGCGGAGGCCTCAGTGCATTCCGCTTTTCTTTTCGTCGAGGAGGAGCCGAAATCGGTCGTCAGCTTGAGTGAGGTGGACGGTTCTGATGGCCGGCTGCGATTCGGTTGGAATGTCAGCGATTTCCCTCGCGACGAGAGAATAGGTTTTTACCTGCATATACTGGATCCTGACAGAGTGGAATGGCTCCCGCAGATCCTGCTCGAAGATGACATTTCGAACGAGGGAACTTTCGAGTTCAGCTTGTCCCAGTTGGGGAATCACACGAGCCGGATATCCCCGCCCAGCTTCACCTTTTCCCTTCGGTCGCAGGTCGGAATGGGTCGATCGTTCCCGACGCGGACGACCGAGGAGAGACGCCTCTTTCCCGTATTTTCCTTCGTTTCGATGCGAACCATACTCATGTTCGTCGTGAGAAGGGTATCGACAAACGAAGCATGCGATTCTTGGGCCCGAATGGACAAAATACCACCAAACGACTTACTGCCATGTCCACCGACGCTCGTGCAAGCCGAATCGGATCGGCGCTTCGTCCCCGGCAACGAAATGCTTCGGTTCTTCCATCCCGGAGCAGACACTTGCTACCGAAGCGCCATTCCCTCCCCCAGCGGAGGCGAACAGGAGTGCTGCTATAAGGACGGCAGCATCTATTGCGGGGCGCCTGGCGGTGGCACGGCTAAGAAGTACAGTCCCGTCGGGCACCTATGGGAGCATTTCGTCTACGATCTCTTCCCGTGGGCCATGTGCTGCGTTGGAGAAAGAGTCGAAATCGGGGGCTCTTGCCGGAAGTACTTCGAGCAACGGCCGTCGCATTGCGAGGACGTTTATGTTCCGCCCAGGGTCATGCGAGGGAGTGGGGATCCACATTTCACTACTTTTGATTCGTTTGAATACACTTTCAACGGATATGGCGAATACTGGCTCTTCAAGAGTGAGTTTTGCTCTTCCCAAGTCAGGTTGGTCCCTTGGCGACAACATGACCGAATCGCAAGAGGTACTGTGATTTCGGCAATCGTCTTCAAGTGTAAAAATGCCCCAAAGTTACAAATTCAGTCTTCGGCGAATAGGAAGGGAATGGATTTATTGGTAGACGGCTCTCCGTTTGCATTTCAAGAGAGCATACCCGAAGTCTACATGGGCAACGCCCTCATATTGAATCAGCCCCAGAAAAACGAAATTCTAGTTGCATTCTTCGATCTTAGTTTCACCGTGAGCTCCGCGCATAGGGCCTTCTCTGTGTCAGGCTTCGTGGGCAACTCATATTCGCGCATCACCCAAGGGTTGATGGGGGATGCCGATGGCGATCCGAACAACGACATGAAGAGACCAGACGGAACCGTTCTGCCGATCGCCTCAGACCTCGACGCGATTCATCGGGAGTTCGGAGAGAAGTGGAGAGTGCTGGCCAGCGATTCCCTTTTCACGTACGACGGAGGAGAAGGTTATGGTACGTTCTATCGCCCTGAATTCCAGCCCATTCTGGAGCGTCCGGACCCGCAGTCCTTCCCCGGCGACATTCAGGCCTTGTGCAGCGATAACCGAAACTGCTACTTCGATTACAGTACCACTGGCAGTCTCGAATTCGCATTGCAGACCAAAGCGACCGAGGAGGCGTTCAACGACACGGTCCGGAAGTTGGACGTTAAAATTGTTTCCTGTACAACGCTTCCGAAGATCGAAAACGGCTATCAAGAGTTTACCAATCACCTAGCCGGATCGACGGTGAAGCACGTATGCGATGAAGGGTTCACATTATCGGGAAGTGAAAATATCATATGTGAAGCTGATGGCACTTGGTCTGCAGCAGTGCCAACCTGCAACTCGGCTCAAATGACGCATTCGCGAATCCTTTTTATCATCGGTTGTTTGGTGCCGCCCCGGATAATAGCGTAGAAAGTTTACAAATTTGAGATAGGAAATCATGTGGCACGTTAATAGTGCATTACATTGTGATTGGTAGTTTTTTTTAAACTGATTAAACCGATGGCTTGCACTTGAAATGTCTAAGCTTATGCTTGAGTCCACCGTATTCTTGTCATATTAATGTAACGTTAACTTCAATATTATCATCGTGTCCCTTTCCGATATATTTGTTCTTTTCGAAGTTGCCTTGATAAATCGCTGAAATCAGTTGCTTTTTCGTCATTTTGCTCCTATTAAATCAATTACCTCACCCCATCTCTAATTATTCCGTCTTCTTTTGTTTGTGGTTGCGTTTTTTTTTATCGCATTGAAAATTTGATGCGATAAAAACGCATCACATGGAGGATAGATTTTTCAGCGACAAAAATGCATCAAATTGAGACACTGAATTTATTGCGTGTATACATCTATCTCTCCTATCGACCTCATGCTTACCATATATTTCAAGCGAGTAGAATGTATCCACAGCGGCTGTTGGACGAAACCACCTCGAAATATTTCATATCGCGCACAGTTCGGAAATAGCGGCTATCGCACTTGCTCGGTGCGGCGTTAGGTTGACGTCTTTCTTAGAGCTAAATGTCTTGCTGGTGACTAGAATGATCCATGATGGATCACGCCATTGATAAAACCAGCATTCAACAGGCTTGGCAACAGTGCCACTATGAGCAAATGCAGCAGAAAATGAACGACTTTACTTCCGCTACTCCAGATGGGATCCGGACGTATCTTTCAGCATCACTGATAAGAAAAGAAGATTTTTTTTACCATTTCATGCTGCTTACTACGGTTTTACATTATAATTCTACTGCATTGGTTGGTACTATATTGACTTATTAATAAAACAGCCAAAATGAAAGGAAATGTTAGTATGTACAGCATTATTTAGCCACTGTGGCTTGGCTGGCTTACTTGGCTTTCTTCTCTCAATGAATAAGTTTTAAAAAAATAATGAAACGGAGTATGATTCTACTTTTGAAGTATGCGAGGAAAGTGGCTTCGACAAATGTCAACAAATTCGTTGGGTAGTACGGGCAAAAACCATTGCATGAAGCCCATCTATCAAAATAATGGTACACGGCGAAAATTGATCCACCAAGGGAAGTCCACATTTAAAGAAAAAAACGTATTTGGGCGTGAGAGGCTTGGTAGATCGTTCAACCTTGCCCCAAATTTTCCCACATGGCTTTTTTTTAATATTAAATTACGAAAATATGCTCGATACAAGCACAAAACCCAACCATGCACCATGCAAGGCTGTCCTATCAGTTATACTATCTACTACTAGTTATACAGTTAACTATATATACTTATAGTTACTATCAGTAGTATCCTTAACCATTTGGACCACCAGTGGTCCAATTGGCTAAGGATTACTTTTGAACGCGACGAGTTCGCTCTAGGACCTGTTGGCACCTCGACGAGTGAGGCCTGCGACTTATCGGCGACGAATAATCGGCTCCTACGGATCTCGATGGGTCACGAATTTCACCCATCCGTGGATTTCAATTGGTTGACCCGATAACGTTGAAAGTTAGAAACATTTCTAGAAGCTCTTTTTGTGGAATGACTGGGATTACGCTCAGTTTCCCTAAACACAGTAACATATGTAGATGTAGAGGTCTCTGAAAAGTAGGAATATAACTTTTCACATAATCATATATGAAGAAGTGCTTTTATTTCTCAATGGGAGCGAATTGAAAAAAAGGCTCAAAGACTTAACAAAGAAACTTGGCAAAGCAGAACAAATACTCGTACATGTGAAAGTGACACAAGACATTAAAGCCAATAAGTGGGAGGAAATTGCATTAATAAGATCGTCTTATTAATGTGATACAATAACGATACAATAACTATAGCACAGCATACACATTTACAATTAATGCAGTGGGCGCATTATTCTTCGGCCACTCTGCATATTCACTTTTTCCTTTTTCATTTTCCTCTTTCCAAGATTCCATCTGATCCTTAGGAGTGGCACCCCCTAATCGAACACGCGTCCCAGTCTGATAAGGCTTCTTTGTCACATTTGCTGGTTCCGTGGCCGGACGATGACGTCATTCACCTGCAAAATCAAACGTGAATGAGGGTTGTTCTATAGTTTCGAAAGGGGATTAGGAAATAATAAAGACAACAATGTGAAAGCAATGTTTAAACTCTCAGACGACCTGTTCGTAAAACGAAAGTTCAAATTCCGGCGAAATCCCCATGCATTTTCCAAAATAGATATAAAAGGAGAAAATGAGGACTTTTTCTATCTAATTTTCCCATACCTCCATATGCGGAGGGGAAGAGAGGATGAATTCCACGGTTTTTGCAATGTCCTGTGGATCCAGCATCGTCAAATGCTTCGGGAATCCTGAAATTTGTTCTTCGGTATAGGCCTTTTGGATGATTTCTGTGTCCACCAGTCCAGGACTGATTTGCTGCGAGAAAGAGCATTGGGGGAAAAGAAAATTAATTTTTATAAATGATGCTGGAAATATGTCTGGATCCCTACTGGGGCAACCTCATGGAGTAGCTGAAGTAAAGTTGTTCATTTTCTGCTGCATTTGCTCGTAGCGGCACTATATGAAAACCATTACTTAATGGTTAAGAGTTACTCTGGCCACAGAAGTGTATGCCAGGTGCACATAACACACTCTTAGGGAACAACAATTTACAGTATAACAAAAACAGAATGGTTCTTGTAACTCACCGATGTCCTGAAATTCTTTTTTGTAGCTTTCAGCTCCAGCCGCAACGATTCTGTGATGGCAGTCACTGCACATTTCGTTGCTGTGTATAGCTTGGGCACAACATCGAACACCAAATGCCCAGCAAGACTGTTTTTCAATAGGAAAATTACATTCTTGAAATTTTTAGCCATTCGAATACCATGGAGAACTTCTGAACTTAAATGTCTGACCTGGAAATATTTATTATATGTCCCTCATCTGAGTTCCTCTCCATCAGAGAATCCACTGTCCTCTTGCAGATGTAACAAAGAGCTACGACGTTGCAGTCGAATAGCTGTCTCCACTGGGTCCGATCGCCATCTATAGAAAAGAAAATGATATGATGAATTACTGCAGGTGAGACGTGGGAGCCGCCTTCACCATTGAACTAGTGTTTGTAAGTATTAATAGATACAATTTATGCGGACAGATGAATTATTTTGATGTTGAGTGCATGAATATGCGAGAAAACGAGTTACCCAAAAGCTTCCTTGGTCCTGCTCCAGCGGCGTTGTTAATGCAGACGTCGATTCCTCCCCATGTCGTTATTATTTGGGAAAACATGGAATCCATTTCCTCGTCGTTGGTCAGGTCGCACTTTATTGCGATCATTGTCCCCTCCTCCCCCAACTCCTCGACGACTTTCTGCAAAACGAAAATGCAGAAAGGACAAGTAACACTTCGTTAGATCCGGCTCTGAGTTAGAGCAGATAACTGAACCTGGATGCGATCGACCCTCCTGGCACACGCAGCCACCTTCATGCCTGCCTTGGCTAACTTCATGGCAATCGCTGCACCGAACCCGAACTCGCGCCTGTCACAAGTGCTACTCTGCCCTTCCACCTCTCCATTTCTTTATTAGCGGCCTTCTGGTGGATTCGCTTTAGATGTCAGCACCCGTAGATTCTGGAATCTGACAGACACTTGATACTTGGCGGATGACGAAATTCCTGATCCTCATCAAATGTTTGGCATTCTGACCCATTCCCGCAACACGCGTCGAGGAATGCAGACATCCGATGAAAATGAATACATCCTTTTAATAAGTCTCTCTGATAGTTTCTCTGAGAGCCAGGCTGCAGTACGCAGGTTCGCAGGACCTCAGCCAACGAGCCATTGGCTCCTTTTGATGGCGTCCAATACCGTTGGTGACAAATGTCCAGAATAAGTGACAAAGCAATAGGAATAATCTTTTTTAATACCCAAAATACAAGCCAATCTCATTTTCGAGTTCAAGGAGTTCCATTCTAAATTGAATACACTAATAATCGGCGTAAGATTATTAGCCGTTTAAGTACTGAATGCTCTCCCCCAAAATTGCAACAGGATGTTTAAGACGTTGGGCTCTGTGAAATCGGTAGCCAAGAGGTCGCAGCACCGTACGGCCAAGCCAGAACCGCGTCGCGTTCGCACAACAGGCGTACGGTGGTACGGACATTTAAACACGCATATACGCGGACATAGCACTGGGAGACGCAATATGGCTTGTATATCACGCTAAGTCATCCCCAAAGAAAGAAGCTGCAACCCCTATTTTTCTATTTTTTTCTTCCCCGAGATTCTCTCTGATTTTTGGAAGTGACATACTCGGATCGAACACGCGTCCCAACCACAAATGCCTTCTTCCTCACAATTTCTGGTTCCGCGGCCGGACGATGACGTCATTCACCTGCATATCAAACATGCACATGGGTAATTCAATAGGCTTGATAAAGTAATGGTGAAAAGAAGAGTCCAACCTCCAAGACGAGCTGGCCAAAAAATATATTAGGTTCAAATTCAAGCGAAAAATTAATGCATTTACCCCAAGATAAATTTAAGAAAATCCTTATTTCGCTCTCTAAAAGCCTTAAAAAATTAATTTCCCAATCAGTGGGCACCAGGGTGCCTATTCCCTTTCTTCAACCCCTTCCCGGTAAAAAAAAAATTCAAACTCCTTGTTTTCCTTTCCGAGAGCAACTGGAGAAACGAAATGGGCATACTCCTTAACCTCTCAACACGGAATCCCTCCGCCAAATTTGCATCTCCATCTCCCCGAGGCTGCGGAGAACGCTAAATCTCGCTTTTAGAAAGCGTGAATTTCATTCAATTTTTTTTTATTCTCTCCCCTTCCTCCTCAGAGTAGTCAGTCCAAGGGGTTTTCGAAGGAAATAGCCCAACTAGAAGAAAGATTTTGACTTTTAAGCCACTATAAATGCCCTTTTCGTTTTGTTGCAGTACACCATTTCGCTTTGAAAATGAAACTGGTTGTCATACTGTATAAGCATATTATGAGGACTCCAGCCAGGTATCCCAGGTTTGCCGAAATTGAGTTGGAGTTATGTCAGATTCATCACTGCTTCGGAGGGGAGGGGAGAGGGGAGAGGGTTGGTTGAGAAAAGGGGAAAGCTTTCGAAAAATAATAATACTTCATAATCCATATATATAATAAGCTAATGTATGTTTGTAAGCTGCGTTGCGACGATATGCTAATAGATATCCTGGCAAGTTATGCATCATTTGAAAGCTTATAGTCAGTAGGTGTGCTCGAGATATCAGATTTGAAATAGTATCAGCCGAGGAGGAGTTATAAACTATTACATATTTCACCACCATGCTACCCCCGGTAGAGACCTGCACGGGGCGATTTTCCGGTACCCGACCAGTAGGTGTGCTCGAGATATCAGATTTGAAATAGTATCAGCCGAGGAGGAGTTATAAACTATTACATATTTCACCACCATGCTACCCCCGGTAGAGACCTGCACGGGGCGATTTTCCGGTACCCGACCTGATGGGCCCAATTCAAGTCATGGCCCGCTCTCAATCGGAAGTTCGAATTCCAACCGAACTTCATGGCCCGATCTGGCCCGAGCCGAGCAAAAATTAAGTGCTTTAACTCATGCTTACCTGTGTGCTTCTTCATCATTCAAAATTGCTTTGCAAAAACAGAAAGTCGTCGAAAGTCGATTGACAAGAGAAAATTTCTGCAAAAAGAAACGACTAAATAGCTTTCGGTCTCTAGTGGTGGCACAAACTGCCCCTTGCCCGTCAAAAAGCCTTCCTTCCTTTATTTATATTCATTGTCTCGCAATTTAGTATTTTCATTCTCTCAGATTAAAAGCTTGAATAAGATTTCAGTCATGACATTTCAGGGTCCAGAAGAGCGATACCATTTAAATACTACATTTCTGCTCGACCTGACCCAACCATAATAAGGATCTTGACCATTTCGGTCCCAGAGGGCTCGCGGGTCGGGTCGGGTTCGGGCACAGCCCGTGCAGGACTATAACCCTCGGTTCCTCCAGTAGCTAAAACGATTGCTGTTTTACCCATAAAAACTTGAAATTCCTTCTTTACTCTCTGGAATGAAACACGGGACAACAGAGCGGCATTGGTCATTGAATATTGTGGAAAGTTGTAACATTGTGGGCAGCTCGAGTAAAAATAACATATTAACACGTTGACGACCAGCCTATTTTTGCTTGTCCGCCGCGTGGGACCAATATTCATTGAAAAAAATCTGCATCCTGGCATCAGGACGCATTGTCGCCAACGTGTTAACAAATACGTACTCTTTGTGACTTTACATGTATGTTTGGGTGACCATTAATTCAGTGTTTAATGAAACTTTTAATAAAAATGCGAACTGGAGCATGAGAGAAGACCAACATTAGGATCAACAGTGTGGTCTCGGATAACGAAGGGCATAATAATTATCCAATGAAGTTCGCCCATGGCATCATTCCAGCTGATTTAATGTCAATTTCTAAAAAAAAACATTAAAATTTTACTTGTTCTTCAATAAAAGTCAAGAGCCAAATTCTCAGAGCTAATATTCTATAATGTAGTTCAAAACATCTTTCTTCATATCATGTGCCCAGAGTATTTTGAATGTTAGCGGTAAAATTTGCAAATCACTATTCTCATTTCGCGCAATTTGTGCGGGGCTCCGCTAGTACTTCATAATACTTCATACCTCCATATGCGGAGGGGAAGAGAGGATGAATTCCACAGTGTTTGCAATGTCCTGTGGGTCTAGCATCATCAAATCCTCCGGGATATTTGAAATATGTTCTTCGTTGTCGGCCCTATGGTTGAGTTCCGTGTCAACCAGTCCGGGGCTGACTTGCTGCGAGAAAGAGAATTGGTTCAATAATTTTTTTTTGTTAGCACTGATGCTAAAATGTATTTCCTTGTCCACTTTCTGACAAATTCATGGAGTAGCAGAAGCTAGGATTTTCTTCGTATTCAGTTGCATTTTCCTCGTTAACCAGAACGTTATGAAGAACGTTACCTTTTAGTTAAATGTTCTCTGAGCACAAAAGCTTATATCATTTGCCAACGGCCACTTGCTGGTTTTCCAACTCTGCATAACATATTCATGGGGTCGAGCAATTACAGAATATCAGAAACAGAATGAATCCGATGACTCACAGATACCCTGATATTCTGGTTTGTGGCCTTCAGCTCCAGCCGCAACGATTCTGTGATGGCAGTCACCGCATATTTCTTGACTGTGTACAGTTTCCGTACAACGTCGAACACCCGATGCCCAGCAATACTGGTTTTGAAGAAGAACATTATCTCAATTTAAAAAATATAAAAACCAAGGAAAATCTCTGAACTTCACAGTTTAATAGCTAACCTGGATATATTTATTATATGTCTGAGTAGACTCAAGGAGAGGTAGTCACTTAAGTGACAGGAAAACGTCTACATCGTTTATCGATGCTGCAACGTCAGCTTCTCTACGGAGGTGACCCAGGCTAGCGGTAGACATCTCTGCGTTTTATTAAACTTGAATAACAGCACCTGGCACTGGAATGGGAGTCGTCTCCTCTATTGAAGTACTGTTATAAGTAAATGCATGCTGTGAGGACAGAAAAATCACGTTGATCTCGAGCGCATGAATATGCGAGGAAATGGGATACCCAAAAGTTTCCATGGCCCTGGTCCAGCGGCATTGTTAATGCAGACGTCGATTCCTCCCCACGTCGTTATGATTTGGGAAAGCATGGAGTCCACTTCCTCGTCATTAGTCAGGTCGCACTTTATTGCGATCATTGTTCCCTCCTCCCCCAACTCCTCAACGATTTTCTGCAAAAACAGAAATGCGTAAGGACCAATCACGTAACACTTCGTTAAAATGTGGATCTGAGTGGTAAGGGAAAACTTGAACCTGGATGAGATCGACCCTCCTGGCACATGCAGCCACCTTCATGCCTGCCTTGGCTAACTTCATGGCAATCGCTGCACCGATCCCTGAACTTGCACCTGTGACAAGTGCTACTCGACCCTTCCACCTTTTCATGCCTTGTTCTTAAAAAATTCTCTATTGGTGCCTAAAACAGTGGGGCATAAATTTGACAGACATGCCATACCTACCGAGAATCCGAATCGCACATTGCAAGGAAGGACGAAGGTGAATGGGCTGTCATGCAAAGTCTCTCCGGAAGCCAGATTGCAGCACGCAGGTTCGCGGGACCACAGCCAGCGAATCTTTGGCTCCTTTTGATATTTGCTGTGACTTTTGAAGGCGAATGTCCAGGAAAAGACAAACTGGGCGAAGAAACTTTTTAAATCCTCAGAATACCAACAAAGAATCTCCATATTACTAATATTTTCAACTTCAAGAGGTTTTGTAATGTAGTAAAATCATTTTTAATCGGATAAAATGCATGATGAACTTTTTATTTTTGCCGCCCCGTTTCCGGTCAAATTCCATGTGTGTTACCAGCACGCATGGTTAGCATTTATTGCTTGAAATTGAGAGAAGTAGACGAAACATATCAGAGGTACTCATCATTTTTTATATAGCTAATTTCGCCGTAGTGTAACATTAGTCTACCCGCTTGCTTTATCTTCAACTTCGGGAATAAGCTCTGGTCAAGCTGAAATTCACCCTTTGTGAACCTCATCAATATCGGGAAAAGAAACAGCTGGACATTAAAAGTATCCTGAAGTTGCATTAAGCATAAGGAAAACGGGTCTTGGAAGCTCAGTGAGAGAGTTGGCGACTCTGTTGAGCAATGTATTTTCTTCAAGAAAGAGATTTCGAATTGTCCACGTGAGAAGTATTTGACACCTCAGGCAGAGTAACATTGGATATTTTGAAAGATTTCCAATGTTTCAAAAAATTTTCACCTGAGGTTGGAGCTATTATTTTCCTACCTGAGACATAAGGCCTTTAAAGGTTTCTCACTTCAGTAATAGGAGTAACACGCTTTGCACAAAGTGACACGAGCAAGCCTTCTGTGCCAGGTGAAATGAATACTTCTCTATTTTTACTCATTAAGAGACTCACTCGAAATGAATTGATATTAGGCGCTGATTCATTTCAATTTATTGTTATGCATCACGAGAAAAATTTAAATTTACAATATCATCATGCTAAGTGCAACACTGGTCTTCATCGGTGCAGAACGGCATGAACTCTCCCACTCACGTCCACATGGACGCAGCAATCCAACGCTGTCATTCAACCCGCACAGAGCCTCGCAAGATCCGGAAGGCCATGCTCAGGAGACACTCACTTGTGACTCACTCGGGCATTACCGTGAAGACTCACTAATGCAGAGATCGCTTTCATCACTGTGTTAGCTTTATTACCCTCCACCGTGGTGCTATACATCACTACACCTGGAAGCACTCAGATTCTCATGGCAGGAGCGAAGTCGAGATGATTGGAGACTTCTTACATCTTCTGCCGTGTCGGCCAGATGATCATGTCGTTCACCTGACAAAAGCACGAAATAAAACATGTTCTTTTTTATTTGTTCGTTTCCATTGGTTGCCACATGTAGAAATTCTAAACCAATACATTCCGTATTTCAAGGATTGTTTGGTTCCATCACTTCAAGTCAAAAGCGTTTCATTTCTTTTCAGAAAAAGGAGTGCAGGCAAGTGGAAAATCGGAAGAGTACATAAAAGCAAAATTAAGTGTGCGTCATACCTCAACATGGGGTGGAGCAGAAAGCATGAACTCGACGGCATTAGCAATGTCTTCGGCTTGCAATGGATCCATTTTTGACTTCAGCTCGGCCTGTCGATCTTTCGGTAAGTGGTTCTCAACCATTTCCGTCCACACGAGCCCCGGACTTATTTGCTTTAGAGAAAATAAGGAACTGGCAATGTCTTTAATTCTGAAAATGAGATGCTGCAATAAAGCAATTCTCATGTTGCAGATTTAAAACTGCAGCTAATGTGATCACTTCACTAGCTTTCCCCCGTCATGGATAGTTACTGAAATCAATATTATATTGTCTGAAATCCAGCGACATCGTAATATAAATAAAATTATTACCATTATTTACGGCACTAAAGTAATGATAATGCGCGCATGTTGCATTCCATTATATTCCCATTTCAATAGCATGCCTATGAACAATGTAATAGCACTGAGAAATACTGTGATCGTAACACATTTGAATGCTACTATATTGCCCTTAGGCAGGCTAAAGAATGCAGTGAAAAGCAAAAAGTATTGAAATTCCAACACTGGTACAGCTTAATGAATAGGAAAATGATACCGGTGTTTTTTAAATTATTGTAAAATTCTCACCGATGCTCGGATATTTTTCTTCGTTTCCTTCAGCTCCAGTCTAAGAGATTCCGTCACAGCCGTGACAGCGAACTTGGATATATTGTACATTTTTGGGTCCACATCGTACACCCAATGCCCAGCAATGCTACAGAATAAAAAAATATTAATTTCTTCGCAGACTTTTCAATCGCACTTTCCCCAACTGTCCTCCGTAGAAGAGCTTTTCTCCAGGATAGAGTTAATGAAGCAAATATAATTAATTTATAGATGTTTTCATCGGAATTAGTGCATTTAAACGAAGAAACCCTACTAACGCAAGCCTCTAGTTTAGCAGTTCGCAATACCCTTTTACCTCCCTTAGAACTTCAACGTACTCAGTGAACGGCGATCTATCGATTCAGAGCCACAACATTAGTTTACGTAAGACAATATTTTTCGCAATCAATAAAGGTCTTCACATACAAGTAAGAATATTCTGGCCAATCCATACTACAAACCTGCAAATATTGATTATGTGTCCCTCGTCGCAATCCCTCTCTTTCAAGGACTCCACCGTCCTTTTGGAGCAATAACACAGTGCAATTACGTTCAGATTGAGCACATTTCTCCAATCCTTCCGGTCACCATCTGAATTTAAAGATATGAAGCTGTGCTAAGTAATATTGCCCTGGGACTTTGTCAGAGCAGAAACAAGAAAATAAAAAAGCATCCTTGCCAATAATCGTCTGTGTTCCAAGTTGAGCAGCACTATTGATGCACACGTCAATGCCACCCCATGTTCCCATGATTTGGGAAAACATGGCATCAACTTCCTCATCGTTGGTCAGGTCGCACTTAATGGGCAACATCGTGCCTTTATCTCCCAATTCGTACATCATTTGCTAACGAAAAGACGCAAAAAACAATGATACAAAACACCTCAAGTGTAGGTAAACCATTTTTTTCATATTTCCCCATTTCAACTATCATTTAGGAAGTACACATATTTTGTATCTATGAACAGCATTCCCAAGGGCAACAATTATGGCAGAAGTCAATCTCAAAACTGAGGAAGGCCTTACTGTTACTCTATCCGAAAATAAATAGGCTATTCCGAAGCATCAAAGTACCGGGATTAAGCCATTAAATACTTTTGAGTACAAAGAATCTTATTAAAAAATTTTGCCCAAATGTTCCCTACACGAGGAAAAAATCTGTGAAAAATTAGGGCATTGGAAAATAAATTCCGTACTTACTCAATAAGGGATTACTGGATTCCTCATCAGCCTTAGTCCTCTCTTTAAATGGACCTACGCTAGCTGGGAGGACCGTGTACGTCGCTGGAAGTACGGACGGAACCGGTTGAAGTACCGTTATCGACATGGCTAGGGACTTGAACGTGGACAGTGTTCACGATGACTACCCTTCCATCGCTCCATGCCTTATGGGTTGTAAATTGAAATATTCAGTTGCGGGATAAATGGTACCTGAATATTGAATCAGATAGACCTCACCATACGAAACGAAATATCAATATCTAATACTGACTCATGCAAAAACAGGCACCAAGAAATGAAGCATCCTGCATTGAAGATGAGATAGGCACTATAGCTGGTTGATCTATGAATGCTTTTCCAAGAGCCAGCATGCATCACGCAGGTTCGCTGGAAAACAGCCAACGAACCTCTGGCACTATACCTTCACAATGTTCAAGTCCTCAACAAATCCTCCATAGACGGTTGTGTAGCGAGAGGGTAGGGTGAGGGGGGGGGGAGTTGGAGCCTCCCGACCTCCTACATGCACGGAATACAAAGAAAAGCTAGGTCCGAGAGGATGACGTAACCATGAAAGGAGGGGAGGAAGAGAAATTCCAGTTTAAACACACCCAACGTGTTCCATTGAGATACATAATGAACGAAATCTGTCACTTATCTTTTTCAACACCCATCACCCTGTCTAAAAGGTGATGTAAGTGAAATTTCAGTCCTTCCATTGTTCCTTCTAGCATCCCTCACCGCCTGCGGCTCAATTCATAGCGAAGGAAATACAGGTTCAGGGGTGCAAAATGTTCTGGAATGCTTTCATTGGCTTGATTCATATCTATTCTCGTTCGTTTTTGTATTCGCAATATAACTAGCAGCTTATAATGAATCACGAATTAAAAACCAAAACCTTATGATGTGCACACTTCGAACTGAGTGATTGAAGCTGTCCTCATGCCATGTTGAAAGGAAATTCCATATTACATGAAAGCTTTCATCGAGTAAGAACACAATATATTTGATATTTTGGTTATGCATCATGAACATATTCTTAAGTTTATAAGCCATTATAACATATGTATCACTGGTAGCTTTCTTTGTATACCCAGGAGTAAAATTTTTGCATGCAATCACTGAGTCACATGGCCATGTGAGCACGTTGTGTTGTGCATGCAATGTGAGCATGTAATTCACTTCAACACTAAAAGCGTTCCTAGGGAAGATATTGCATCAAAAATTCTTCATGGTTGTGTCAAAGCCCATATACAGGGTGTAACAGAAGTCACGCACCGTAGGGTATTCATTCGTATTTTAAAAGCTGAAGATGTGGTTAGAAAATCAACAAAAGAAGAACGCGTTCAGGTAGTTTTGACGTGCGCAAAGCAAGGAGGCTCTCATCGAACATTCGCGGATGAACTCAATACGAAGCATCCAGAAAATTGTGAAAAAACATTTTAAGACTGTCGCGCGCAACTTCTGTTTCACCATTGTATATGAGAACATACACGATGCTCGCTGTTATTACTCCACACGTCTTGATAAATAGAGCTCTCGGACGCTTATGGCAGAGTCGAAGAGAATCTGCATGGAGGCTTCTTAAAATTTTTCACGAGTCGGCCGGATGATCATTTCATTCACCTAATAAAGGGCAGAAAACCATACAAATACATCCTTTCGTTTGCAAGGGATACACCTTTTCATTGAATTTTGCTGAGCAAAATGAAGAAATGAAGAAAAACAAGAGTCTTTTTTTTCTAAAAGGGTAAACTTGATCCACCTACAACCCTCAACACTTGCAAGCACTTCGGTTTTTTAAATTCCAGGGAAGATGAGCAATGCCTTGCATTGAATGATAATAATCAATGGAAAGAGTAGATGAATGAGAAAGTGTAGCCTACGCGCCTCGAAATGAGGAGGAGCAGAGATGATGAACTCCACAGCATTGGCTATGTCCTCGGCTAGTAGGGGATCCATGTCCCTGTAGTGCTCCCAGTCTTCCAGAAGACCGTGCACTAGGTTGTAGAGGCAGGAATGGTGGGGACCTCTATGAACGAATTTTAACTTTAATTTTTGGTTTTTAGACGGTCTTCACACTTAGAAATTAATCAGGACACCGGAAGTTCACTGAAACTAAATCAAATAGCCATCATCTTTAGCATTCGAAATGTCTTGAAATCATTAAATTAAAAATAACCTGGAGAAAAGAATGGTCGAGTTCCATATGTGCCAATATCCATAACAGGGGCACTTCAAGTAAGCTGATGAAAGTTCTAGGAATTCTCACCGTTGCTCGGATGTTCCTCTTCGTTTCCTTCAGCTCCAGTCGTAGAGATTCTGTGATGGCCGTAACAGCAAATTTTGATGCGGTATAAGGCACGGAAGCAAATTCGAATACCCAATGGCCAGCAATGCTACGAAATCAAAAATGGACTTTTATGAAACTTTTCAAGGTGTACTTTAGTTTATTCAAGAGGGAGAACGTGAATGAGAACAACTCTCTGAATTACATGGAGCGAGTGAATTTCACCACGCAATGAACGAACTATCTTCATATACAAGATACTAGAGTTGTTCGAAAAATAACTTCATGAGGATTCAAACACCAAATTTGTCATTCCCGTATTGGTGAGGGCTTCTGAATTTGATAAATGGCTTAGAGATGTCACTGATATCATGAAGTCACGTAGAGGATATTATTCATTACGTGGGTAGAGGCCATCAATATGTCAACCCAACTTCAAGATGATCTTCCATTGAGATATGGAATACAATTCATTTTTGTTGTGAGAATATTGTCGGGAACAGGGATTCATCGGGAAGTCTTTGCTTTTTATGGACAAAATAGGTCTCAGTCCGCTGAGTGCCCAAATAATTGACCGAGGGTCACAAGGACAACTGCATGGCATGCTTTGTCGTCAACTTGCAGTGCAACCCTCAAGAGGGACCGAAATTCAACACATTGACACAGGCGACAAAATCTGGGTCCACCACTGCAACCAAGAGAAGAAAGGAACTTCAATGTCATGGAAGCATGTCTCATCGCCGTTGTCAAAAAGTTCAAAGCGACATCATCAGCTGGGGAAGTGACTACGTTTTCTGGGATTCGGAAGGCGTCTTGTTTCTTGACTTCTTGGATCATGCTTCAACTGTCGATGTCGATGCCTACTGTGCAATGCTGGCGAAGCTCCTCCGATCCATCCGCAGAAAACTTCCCGGACTCTTCAGAAGAGGATACCTCTCGAATCCATACAGCGTAATGACTCTTGGAGCGTCTTGGGTGGAAAATCTTGAACAACCTTTCCGCAGACAGGACTTGGCGTCTTTCGACTACCATCTTTTCAGGCGTGAAGAAGATTCTGGGAAGGACACATTTCCATAACGACGAAGAAGTGGAAACGTCTGTGCAGCAGAGAAAAAAATCTGGACCGGTCATTTTTCGGGAGGGAATAGACAAGCTGGTAACAAGATGTGACAAACGCTTCAGCAAGGCTGGCGACAACGTTGAAAAATAAAGAGCCCTTAGGGCTTCACAGTTATTAATTTACATAGCTTCATTAACTAAATATTTATTTGACAGCCCTTGTAAAGTTATTTTTCAAATAACTCTCGAATATGAATTCAACTTCATTTTTTGGGAATAACTTGTGGCAAATATAAAAACATGTAGGTCTTCTTGCTAAGGAAAAACAATTTTAGGATTTCGTCGTCAAGTACATATGTAGAAATTTAACGACGTTGTATAGAAGTACATGTCCCGCTTCCCCAGTACCTTTTCTCACCCAGTCTGGACGGTTACAACTAATACACAGGAAGCAGGCAATCTCTCTCCTTCAAGGATTCTACTGTCTTCTTTGCACAGTAGCAATATGCAATCACATTCAAGTCAAATAATTCTCTCCACTCCTTCCGGTTTCCATCTACGTCGAAGGTATGCAGTTTATTACATATTCGGTTTCAACCACTGCAACACATCCATAACATAAGAAAGATAGTGGTGAATAAATTGTATTCATACCAAGGAGCGTCTGGAATGCCTATCTTAGCGGCATTATTCATGCAGACGTCTATTCCTCCCCATGTTTCCATGATTTGGGAAAACATGGCATCCACTTCCTCATCGTTGGTCAGGTCGCACTTGATGGCCATCATCGTGCCTTTATCTCCCAATTCTTTCACCATTTCCTAAAGAAAATGAGAATTTTAACGAATACAAAACACCAATTAATACATGAATTTCGCATGGAAGTTAGATTAGGAGAAAAGTACCTGGATAGAATCGACCCTTCTGGCACATGCAGCGACCTTCATGCCTGTCTTAGCCAACTTCATAGCAATAGCAGCACCAATCCCTGCACTCGCACCCGTCACAAGTGCTACTCGGCCCTTCCACCGCTCCACGATCCTAAGAGCTATGGTGTTATTTCGCTCAAGGTTTAATTGCATACATACAGACTATTCAATGTGAAATCGATCATCAAACCAGCGGAAACATAATTTTTATTAACTGGCCCCAAGTAACTGGCACTAAGAACAACATACCTTGTGCATTGAAGATTAAATACATCTACTTGAACACTTTTATATTCAATGTGAAATCGATCATCAAACCAGCGGAAACATAATTTTTATTAACTGGCACCAAGTAACTGGCACCAAGAACAACATATCTTGTGCATTGAAGATTAAATACATCTACTTGAACACTTTTCCCTAAACATTTCTCTCACCGAGCCAAAATGCATCATGCAGGTTCGTCGAAACTCATCCGACGAGCCTTTGGCTCTGTATTTTAATCATGTCCAAGTTTTGTCGCCATAAATCTTTACTAAAGTGAAATAACCGGACACCAAACCTGTTTAACTAGCTGCTGAGAGTAAGATGCTAGACTCCATAAACGAGTCTCGGTCCCGATGACTTTCCTGACGTTCACAGGAAGTTTCTCTCAGCATATTCTAATTTTTGGAATCCGACAGAACATGCACAAATAACCCATCAGGAGTGCTCTGTGTGGTTTCGCTCTGCTCAAACATACTTGATCAAACGCCAGAAGTGTCTCAAACATCATCAAGATATCTCACCTCTTTTTTGTCGATGTTCTTTTTGTAGATTGCATCTTGATATTTATGGACATTGAAAAAAATGAACAATGCATACAAAAGCACTAAACATAGAGTCTTACGGAAAACGATAGGCGAACATAAACCTAGGTACATCGAACGTCAAGACCATCAAAAGGCGAGATACTTCGCACCTCAAGAGGACGAAAATGTGAGAAGGTGAAACTAAAAGGAATAGCAGTGAGGAGAGACAAGAGGCCAAATGAGAAGCGGTTGGCAAGGCTTATTCCATCAGGGGAGAAGGTAACAACTCGGAATTTCAGCCGATTCCCAAAGGACCAAAGAGAAATTTCAAAATAATGTGAATGGTGAACTTCATGATACATTTCAACTGACGAGGGTGCCTAATGGATAAGAAGAGGAATCAATACATTTATGTATTTCCTAAGATTTGTCCCAACCTAATGACTCGTCCTCGAATCCTGACCCAAGTGGTGAACACATCACCTTTCCCGATTATCTGTAGGGTACGGCATTCAGAGTTTCAAAGGGGGAAACTTCCAGCATCGCACTTATTAATCCCCAATCCCTTCGCTCAGTCGAATTTCATCATTTTCCTCTATATCAAAAACGTCAACTCCCCGTTTCGCTGCTAAACCCAGTAGAACAATAATATTGAAGTCTTATTCCGAATTGAGGCCATCTCACTTGATGGTATCGACCCGTTTTTTTCCGGTTTCTATATTGCACCTGCTACTGTGCCTTTTTTCTCCTCATTTACTCTCATTTTCTCATCTTTGCACACCTCCAGATGTGAAGCGCCATACACGATAGCTTTATTCAACCAAGGAACCAGGAAAAAGTTTCCTCCATGGTTTAGCACCACGTTCTTCATAAGCATTTTGTCTGCATTTAGAAATCCACGAAATTCACCGTTTTTACCCACGTGTGCACGATAAATGGAGCACCCAGATGATTACAAGTGAATCGAAGTGAAGACACTGGACCACGTCTCACAATTTTTCCTGAGTTGGCCGCACGATAATATCATTCACCTGATAAAAGTGCATAAAATCGAAATGATTATTCACTTGCAAAGATTACGTCTCTTGAATTGCTTGTTCTCAAATCCTGTCTGAAATAGTATTGTCTACAATCTTCCCCAATTGCAGGTGCTTCATCTTGGAAATTCAAGGGAATAAAAGAATTACGTATTATTGTTTGATACGATAGTATTAAAACACTCAGCATACGCACCTCGACGTGAGGAGGGGCAGAGAGAATGAATTGAACAGCATTGGCCATGTCCTCAGGTTGCAAGGAATCCTTTTCGGATACTAGTTGGAGAATCGCTTCTTCCGGAAGAAGACTCGCCATTTCCGTCCACACAAGCCCAGGACATATTTGCTTTCGAGAAAAAAGCAACTGGTAACGTCTTTAATTTTTAACAAGGGGTGACTGCCATTGCAAACAATCCACAATATGTAAATTTTAAACTTGAATTCATGCGATCGTTTCACTGACTCTCCCGAGCATGGAAAGTCATTGCAATCAAAACGATATTTTCTGGAATTTTACAATATTGTTATATAAATGCAATAAGTACCTTTGGTTATAACAATAAAGATGATTGATTGATTGTTGGTGATTCTAATCCACACTGTTGCATTCCATTATGCTCTTTCTACAATAGCATGCTTGTGAACAATGTAAAAGCACTCAGAACTGTTGTGATTGCTATCGTTGCACATTTGTATGCCATTATGAAGGAATTCGAAAAAGGCAATCGCATTGCAATTCTAATATTGTCCAGGCCTAATCAATGGGAAAATTATTGCCATAGTCATACTACAATTATTGTAAAACTCTCACCGATGCTCGAATATTTTTCTTCATCTCCTTTAGCTCTAGTCTAAGAGCTTCCGTCACAGCTGTAACAGCGAACTTGGATATGTTGTAGAGCTTGGGGTCCACCTCGAATACCCAATGACCAGATAGGCTGCATAAACAAAAGCAATAGCATTTCCTCGACTTTCAATCCGCATAGAAAACGCTAGCTAATTCATTTTGTTTGTGTCGCCATGGACAATCCAAAAAAACGAAAAGCCAGTTCTCAATTGTTCTCCATAGAAATAGAGTTGCTCAAAAGTGTAGTGTTACTACAGCAGACTCGCAGTAACAGTGTTAAGAGAGTACGAGTCTTCATCAGTAGTTGTGTACTTACATGATGAGTTAATATTCTGTTTAAGTTACTCTGGTTGACGTAAAACCCATCCTTCGTAAATCATGTGTGATTTTAACTCAAGTAAGAAAATTTAATTCAAGTAATAAAATCTAGTCTCATGCATGCTTCAAACCTGCAAATGTTGATTATGTGTCCCTCGTCGCAATCCCTCTCTTTCAAGGACTCCACTGTCTTTTTGGAGCAATAGCATAATGCTACGACATTCAGATTCAGCACATCTCTCCAATCCTTCCTGTCACCATCTGAGTTGAAATCACAAAGGTTAGACGATGAGATATTGCTCTACCACTCGGTCAGAGTGAAGGTGAAATATAACATAATGCTACGACATTCAGATTCAGCACATCTCTCCAATCCCTCCTGTCACCATCTGAGTTGAAATCACAAAGGTTAGACGATGAGATATTGCTCTACCACTCGGTCAGAGTGAAGGTGAAATATAGTATTTTTTAAATTTATCCTTGCCAATAATCGTCTGCGTTCCTAGTTGAGCAGCGTTGTTGATGCACACGTCAATGCCTCCCCACGTTTCCATGATTTGGAAGAACATGGCATCTACTTCCTCATCGTTGGTCAGGTCGCACTTGATGGGCATCAATGTGCCTCCTTCCCCTAACTCTTCCACCATTTGCTAACGAAAAAACGCAAATAATAATATACAAATCACATGATGTGAAGATAAACCCCCTCTATTTTATTTACAACTTTCCATTCCAACTCTCTTTCGGATAATCTTTCGGTAAGTATTGATACATACATATTGCATCAGTGGACAGCATTAGGGTAATACCAATGTCAGGAGCAAATCCTGGAACTGCAAAAGCCCTCACTTATTATTACCGTCTCCGGAAATGAATTTGGCATTTTAAGCTATCAAATTATCATGGCTAAGCCGTTAAAAACGCTGGAGCGCGAAGAATCAGTAAGAGATGTCCATTAGAAAACTTTATTGGAAAATAGTTCTACTTCATGAACCAGATCTGTATAATTAAGTTGGTTTCTTGCTCAGCGCAAGAAAATACAAATGAAGAATTCTTCCCCTGACGAGAACTTCTTGATTTTTCGTCAAAAACTTTATTGGAAAATAGTTCTACTTCATGAACCAGATCTGTATAACTAAGTTGGTTTCTTGCTCAGCGCAAGAAAATACAAATGAAGAATTCTTCCCCTGACGAGAACTTCTTGATTTTTCGTCAGATACAATCCATGACGTTGGAAGAATTATTCCCACAAGATTATTCCTATTCATACAGCTCACGTTGTACTGCAGGCGGAAAGGCAGCTACTTCTATGCAACTTTAACTAAGTTGTTGTGAATACCTGGTGTTGTTACTTAAAGCAGATGTACTGAAACATGATTTGTTTTTCGCTAAACCATATCGTTTCAACTTAAAGATTCGTTGGGTTTTTCAGATATCAATAGTTCTTAACCGCAAAATCCTTTCGATTGAAAATCAAGCTAGAAATCATCAATTCTCAAGAATATTTCAAAGTACTTTTCAATACTGCCATCTTTAGACACAGTTCAATTGAATGTTGATTCATACAGTCTTCATGAATGTTTACCAATAATTGGCCAAAAGCGCTTTTTCCCGAAAGAATATATAAGTTCAAGGAATTGAAAAAGAAATGACGGATTTACCTCTACCTCAATGAGTAATGAGTATATATCAGTATTAGAGGAGAGAAATTCACCTGGATGCGATCGACCCTCCTGGCACATGCAGCCACCTTCATGCCTGCCTTGGCCAACTTCATGGCAATCGCTGCACCGATCCCAGAACTAGCACCAGTCACAAGTGCTACTCTGCCCTTCCATCGTTCCATAGTCTTACGGGTTCCAAATTAAAATATTCACTATGGGATAAATGGTACCCGAATATTGAATCAGATAGACCTCACTATACGAGACGAAACATCTAACACTGATACAAATAAAGACACCAATAAATGGAGAATCTTACACTGAAGGTGATATGGGCACTGTAGCTGGTTGATATATGAATGCTTTTCGAAGAGCCAGAATGCATCACGCAGGTTCGCTGGAATACAGCAGCGACAAATAAAGACACCAATAAATGGAGAATCTTACACTGAAGGTGACATGGGCACTGTAGCTGGTTGATATATGAATGCTTTTCGAAGAGCCAGAATGCATCACGCAGGTTCGCTGGAATACAACAGCGATCCTCTGGCTCTATACCTTGGCAATGTTCAAGTCTCTTCATAATATTTCTCCATAGACGGTTGTGTGGCGAGGGAGGGAGGGGCTGGAACCAACCCACCTTTGACGCCGGTACAGAAGTTCTTTTCCGTCCGCCCTCTTCCGTCTTGCAAATTGTGATTGACTATCGTTTTGTCCGTGCTTCTTTACCTCGTAGGATGTGACTTCAACTCTATCTGGACTACCTTTCTAATAGGTACTTACGAACCCCTGACGAAAACTTCTTGATTTTTCGTCAGATACTATCCATGACGTTGGAAGAATTATTCCCACAAGATTATTCCTATTCATTGAATGTTGATTCATACAGTCTTAATGAATATTTACCAATAATTGGCCAAAAGCCTTTTTTTCACGAAAGAATATATATGTTCAAGGAATTGAAAAAGAAATGAAGGATTTACCTCTACCTCAATGAGTGATGAGTATATACCAGTATTAGACGAGAGAAATTCACCTGGATGCGATCGATCCTCCTAGCACATGCAGCCACCTTCATGCCTGCCTTGGCCAACTTCATGGCAACCGCTGCACCGATCCCAGAACTTGCACCAGTCACAAGTGCTACTCTGCCCTTCCATCGTTCCATAGTCTTACAGGTTCCAAATTAAAATATTCATTATGGGTATAAATGGTACCCGAATATTGAATCAGATAGACCTCACCATAAGAGACGAAATATCTAATACTGACTCATGCAAATAAAGACACCAATAAATGGAGAATCTTACACTGAAGGTGATATGGGCACTGTAGCTGGTTGATATATGAATGCTTTTCGAAGAGCCAGAATGCATCACGCAGGTTCGCTGGAATACAGCAGCGATCCTCTGGCTCTATACCTTGGCAATGTTCAAGTCTCTTCATAATAATTTCTCCATAGACGGTTGTGTGGCGAGGGAGGGAGGGGCTGGAACCAACCCACCTTTGACGCCGGTACAGAACAAGAAAAGGCAGGCGGGAGAAGGCAGAACGTTTAACACTAACTGATAGCAAAACAGGCACGAAGAAATGGAGCATCCTACATTGAAGTTGAGATAGACCTGATGGAAAGATTATCCATGAATGCTTTTTCCAAGTGCAAGAACGCATCCCACAGGCTCGCCGGAATACAGCTAATGAATCTTTGGCTCTTAGCTCTGACACTTTTATTGTCGTTACTACGAATCCTTTATAAACGGTTACTTAGCGAAGGTGGTAGGAGCTGAGGGTGAAGGAGATGGGAGCTGAAGTCTTCCGACTTCACTGAGATAAACGCACGCACGCANATATCATACAAATCACATCATGTGAAGATAAACCCGCTCCATTTTATTTTCAACTTTCCATTCCAACTCTCTTTCGGTAATCTTTCGGTAAGTATTGATACATACATATTGCATCAGTGAACAGCATTAGGGTAATACCAATGTCAGGAGCAAATCCTGGAACTGCGAAAGCCCTCACTTATTATTACCGTCTCCGGAAATGAATTTGGCATTTCAAGCTATCAAATTATCATGGCTAAGCCGTTAAAAACGTTGGAGCGCGAAGAATCAGAAAGAGATGTCCATTATAAAACTTTATTGGAAAATAGTTCTACTTCATGAACCAGATCTGTATAACTAAGTTGGTTTCTTGCTCAGCGCAAGAAAATACAAATGAAGAATTCTTCCCCTGACGAGAACTTCTTGATTTTTCGTCAGATACAATCCATGACGTTGGAAGAATTATTCCCACAAGATTATTCCTATTCATACAGCTCACGTTGTACTGCAGGCGGAAAGGCAGCTACTTCTATGCAACTTTAACTAAGTTGTTGTGAATACCTGGTGTTGTTACTTAAAGCAGATGTACTGAAACATGATTTGTTTTTCGCTAAACCATATCGTTTCAACTTAAAGATTCGTTGGGTTTTTCAGATATCAATAGTTCTTAACCGCAAAATCCTTTCGATTGAAAATCAAGCTAGAAATCATCAATTCTCAAGAATATTTCAAAGTACTTTTCAATACTGCCATCTTTAGACACAGTTCAATTGAATGTTGATTCATACAGTCTTCATGAATGTTTACCAATAATTGGCCAAAAGCGTTTTTTCCCGAAAGAATATATAAGTTCAAGGAATTGAAAAAGAAATGACGGATTTACCTCTACCTCAATGAGTGATGAGTATATATCAGTATTAGAGGAGAGAAATTCACCTGGATGCGATCGACCCTCCTAGCACATGCAGCCACCTTCATGCCTGCCTTGGCCAACTTCATGGCAACCGCTGCACCGATCCCAGAACTTGCACCAGTCACAAGTGCTACTCTGCCCTTCCATCGTTCCATAGTCTTACAGACAAGAAAAGGCAGGCGGGAGAAGGCAGAACGTTTAACACTAACTGATAGCAAAACAGGCACGAAGAAATGGAGCATCCTACACTGAAGTTGAGATAGACCTGATGGAAAGATTATCCATGAATGCTTTTTCCAAGTGCAAGAACGCATCCCACAGGCTCGCCGGAATACAGCTAATGAATCTTTGGCTCTTAGCTCTGACATTTTTATTGTCGTTACTACGAATCCTTTATAAACGGTTACTTAGCGAAGGTGGTAGGAGCTGAGGGTGAAGGAGATGGGAGCTGAAGTCTTCCGACTTCACTGAGATAAACGCACGCACGCAGCACCAAGAAAAGTGGGATAGAGGAGCCAATACATCAGCTGCCGCAACACATACATGAAACTAGAAAGGCTCATGTAGTGCATCGTATCCAAACCAATGAGCATTCGTATTCTTAACGGAACGGCATTATTGATGCGCATGTCATTGAATCCCCCGTTTCCATGAGTTGCGAAAACATGCCCTCCAATTCTTCATCGTTCGCCAGGAAGCACTTGATGGCCATCATCATGCCGTCACCTCCCAATTTTTCACCATTTGCAAATGATGGGGGGAATTTTAAATAACGCAAAATGGTTAAGAACTCAATTCATGTATTCTCGATTTGAGCGAGATGACAGACACATACCAGAAAAAAGGAACAAATTTTAGCGCTCTCGCACAAACGGTTCTCGAGATATTTAGTCCCGTAACAGCCTCCCCAAGGAAAAAGTGACCCTGTTGTTCCAACGGTTACATTTGTCCCTAATTGAGTTAGAAAAGAGTTCTTGGTCTCAAATGAAAGCTGAGACAAAGCTGAGTCTGAATGCACTGCTGTGCTTTTTTGCAGTAAAATTACAAAGAAGTTATTAACTTTGAAACTTCCAACAAATTTCCAAGTTTTCAATGAAAATTTCGAACAACTGGAGAACATGGTAACACAAAGTGGATCAGTGCCAGGCAGTTCCAAAGTTACTGACGTAACGCGAGACTGAAAAGGAATTCATATCTACCTTAAATATAGTTCGATCCAGAAATTATACTTCCACAGTTCCACATAGGGCATGGTACTTATACCTGTCAAAGTTTTCTTATTTCTCCCATGGATGAAAAAAAGTAAGGCCATTCATGGCGTATTATTGAAGTAACGGTTTGGAAAACAGTTTCCTTCTGCTGGTTCCCATCTAATTATGTCTTGTTTGGCTTGACCTGAAGCTTCCATATTTTCAGAAAGGAAAGCTTAGACCATCACCTTTCTTTATGTCAAATGACATTTGTTGCTGATCAAAAATGTATTATCTAGGAAAGTTTTCCAGCGTTACTGAAGTAAAGAACTGATTTAAATAAATAAAAAAACAGAAGGGTTCTATCTGAGGAATGGAGTGAGATTAGCGGTTGGAGTCATGTGTGCGACCAGAACACGTTGAGTCCTAATAACCCATTAAGTTTAGGCTTCATTTTTTGAGTGAAAACATTTTTTTTGTAGAAATTATACTATAACAATACTTTTTTCAATAATCATGGCGCTAACGATGAAGCAGCGCTGAGAAATTGTTTTCCCCTGTACCCATGAATTTGATCCCAAAATGTATTTGCCTGCGGCTGCAAAGCACGTTGGCTGCTCGAAATCGACGGTGCATCTCTAGGTCGAAAAGTTCAAAAGACTGGCGGTGTGACGGACGATCAATTGATATTCTAGCACAATCAGCTCATCCTCCCTTCCCTTGGTCTTCCGTTTTATTCCCCTTTCCTATTCATCCGCCACGCAGTCGGTCTTTTGGATTTTTTTGACCCAGTGATGCACCGTCGACTTCGAGCGGCCATATACGATATTTTTGTAAATTATTTTTTTTAAATACAATATTACTTTCAATTACTCTGGAACTGCCCTAGTTGCCAATAACAATGAAATCGGTCTTCATTTTAATTACTCTCTTTTCTTTTAAACAATGCACATCAAATTTGTAAAATCCAATGTTGTCATTTTCCACTCACTTCTGCAGCTTCTGTTTCCTATTTCAAACGAGATAGAAGCGGGAAACTTGTGCCACATAAAAGCTGCCTACAAGATCTTTCTGTTTCTGTACGACTTCTGGAGGGACTGACTTAAGGATTAAATACCTCAAGAACCGTTTGTGCGAGAACTCTGAAATTGGGGCGGTTTTCATCATGCATGAATTATCTCAAGCAAATTGCCCTCTCATTCGCAACAACGCTCTCATTCGCAACAACTTGAGCTGGAATGTCTCGTGGGCAGTCGGGATCTGCTGATAAAAAATTTATTGACTGAATATTAAAAGATATCAGTTTTAGTTTTCATTTTACCTATCAGCAGCAGAGACATTGACCTACCTATTCAGGGAAGTTATTTAGATTTATATTTTGGGGGGTTTCAATTGTCAACATTTTCATCGATAACTACAAATTTTTGGCTCAAGAGATATTGTTATGCCGATTTTGAGTTCCCTATCTATTTGCCAGTGAATAGACACCTTAATGAAGGTTCTAGCATGAGTAGTTATTGAGTTACAGGGATATCAAAATTTGAGGTTACTTAAATTTTGACCACCCTGTAGCGCTAGACTTGTTAACCAGATGAGGCTGAAATGCTATATTTCTGGGTATTGTGGCATAAAGCCTGAATACTAATTTGCAATAAAATTGGATATGGTAGGGTGTTCATTTGCGATAATTGTGGCCGATTTCCCATGGAATGACTCATTCACCACCCTCGAGATGGTAGTCCCCCAATCTTCCTTCATTGATGCTTCCTTCATTGATGCACCTGGATGAAGGTTCCTCGATGGTTTTTCACGATGCCCATTGTGCGTAATTTTTCTGTACTTGGAAATCCATGATGGTCACAGTTTTTACCACATGCATGATGATAGGAGGGGTGTTTGAAAAGTAATGCCCCTTTAGGGGTTATTTATTTCAAACCTTAGAAAAATAAAATTTGACACTGATAGAGGTGACACAGAGGAACAATTTTCCGATTTCTTATTTAATCTCCATTTGCAGCTGCACATTTGCGCCACCTCTTTACCCAACGTTCGAATCCTTTTTGTAAAAATCTGCATATTTTTTCTCCAACCACTCCTTTACAGTGACAGTTAATTTCATATTCACTATCAAATCGTCTTCCGTGCAAACGATCCTTCAATATCCCAAAGAAGTGAAAATCACCTGGGGCGTGGAAGACAATTTGATGATGAGAATGAAAATACGGCTGCTGTAAAGGAATGGTTGAAGATGTAGAATTTCACAAATGAGGATTTGAACGCTGAGTTCAGAGCCGGCGCAAATGTGTAGCTACATATGGAGATTAACACGTTGGCGACAATGCGTCCTGATGGCAGGATGCAGGATCCAAAAAACGTCTTGTGCGCAGATATCGAGTATCTAGCGATCACATATTGATCATCAGGCTCTGTAGTATCTATGATTGCCGTGGTCCATGCAGATCTCTTATGGTGAATATTTTATTCAAGTGAACATGAAAGACTCATCTTCTAAGGTCAAGCTTGTTAGTTTTGTAGTTATAAGGCCTATTTTAGTGAATATTTTATTGAACAANCAGGCAAAAAGGTGGGGGGCAATGTTGACGTTAGGTACTAGACAGTAAGCAACTAGGATAGTCCAAAAAAAAAATACAAAAATACAAAAATATTTAGCTTTAAGAGGGTTAGGCCTACCCTAAAAGTAAGGAACGCTCGACCTCGACACATGATATCGAAATGAGCGAAATCGCCTCTTGATGATACTATCTTGACTCTTGACTCATTAATGGAGCACCCAGTGCTTATAAGATCGAAGAGAAGACTCTTGACCGCATTCTACAGTTTTTCTTGAGTAGGTCGGATGATCATATCATTCACCTGTTAAAATGTAGAAAACCAAGCAGATTATTCATTTGCTAAGATTATGTCTCTGGAGTTGTTACTGCTCAAGTTCCATCAGAAATACTATTATCTACTATCTCCCCCAATGCTTCATATTGGAAATTCCAGGGAGAGCGAGAATTACATCTCATTGTGATGAAATTGAAAAGAGTGCCTTGAGTGAAATGTGCAGCATACGCACCTCGACGTGGGGAGGAGCAGAGAGAATGAATTGAACAGCATTGGCAACGTCCTCGGCTTGTAAGGGACAATTGTTGGGCACAATTTGGAGTATAACTTCTTCTGGAACGTTTTCCGTCATCTCTGTCCTCGCCAGTCATGGACATATTTGCTTAATAGAGAAGACAGGCTATTTAACGAATAGGCGCGGTAGTGCCTATTATCTTTCTTCAATCCCTTTCAGCAACAAAATTCAACCTCTTCGTATTCCTCTCCGAGCGCATCAACAGGAACGAAATTAGGCTTGTTTCTTCCTCTCTCAATACAGAAACGCTCCAGCAAATTTGAAGCGCCATATCTCCGAGATTATGGAGAAAAATGAATATTGCTTTTTGAAGATGGAAATTTTTCCGCTGTTTCTTAAACCCCCCCCCCCCCCCCCCTGGATAGCCACTCCTGGGGGGTTTAGGGAAGGAAAGAATCGAACCAAAAGAAAGATACCAGACTTGTGGATGACGGAAAGTGCCCTTTTCATTGTTTGCGATATACCATTTCGACATAAAAATGAATGATTTGATTTTCATTTAGGCTTAGAGTGCTGGCTTCTGTCCCGTCCCTCAGTGTCGCCGGATATCGGGCCGGAGTTTTCTAAGATTAATGTCTGCTTCGGCATTGGTATCAGTGTCTGAATCTCCTGTTCTTTAATGCATGATACATTATTGCTCTGAGTTAATGAGATAAGCTTAGATTGAAACGGTGGTTAACAGTGGCAGATCAATTTGGAGGGGTATGGAGATATACAAGCATCCCTGAATTAACAGGATGGTGCCCAGCATGTGTATCATGCTTCTGGAGGCATTATCTTCTCTGAACTAGTCGAGATGGTTCGAGGAACTCCAGATAGACCTAACGTTCCACGACCGCACTGATTTGGTTCATGAAAATCGAAACAATCAGTCTAACATTACATATCCTCTCTGAAATTTTTCTAAGTCTGAACAAGCTTACGATAACTGTTACGGGTCCTCAACGAGATGTCTCGAAGACCCTGTGATGGAACCTTACAAGTGTAATTGACGCAATAAGTCGATGACTGAGTTTCCTTCATCAGTGAACGAAAAGAAAGGTAGGCCTAGATCTGACCTGAAGACATGTACGTTTTTTAGCAGAACCGACAGATAATTCTGCTAAATAAATTTAAAAAAAATTGAAATAAAAAATGTCGAAAAACCAAAATGTCCCAAAGGAAAATCGTCGCTGTGGCAGGATGTCTCCGATGAGAAAAATTGCTAAATATTCATAAATATTCAATACGATGTCGGCAGACGAACCTAAAGGTAAGCGTTGCCAAGTGAAATTGTGAAAATTGCAAAAATTATTACCGATGCTCGGATATTCCTCTTCGTTTCCTTCAGCTCCAGTCGTAGGGATTCTGTGATGGCAGTCACGGCAAATTTAGTTACGGTGTAATGCTTGGGGATCGGCTCAAAAACCCGATGACCGCCGATGCTGTAAACATGAACAAGGTCTTTCTTAGAAATGTGAATAATGGTACAAAGGAATCTAAAAAGCAGTTTCAACGTGAAAGAGAAAAGATCAGGCTCAATCGTGATGACTCTCTGTCATCACTCGACTTATTATTATCTTATTACTTATTATTGTCACTACGGACTCCGAAATCACCTTGAAAGAGACTTAACTTGAATCACATCAAGCACTACTGAAAGTAATTTTAACATCTAGTGAGTCGTTAGGCTAATACGAGGCAAAAATAAGGAATATCGCATCTAAAGAACGTTTGGGATGTTCATGCTTCTACTAATATTTTACTAATATTTTGATCATCTAAAGAGTAAAGATATTTCACAAGAATTAAGTATGTCAAAAAGTTGTCTGCAGTATTCTGTAGCATATGTTTTCTTATCAATTCATTTTTAGATGCATTTCTTGAGATACAGCTGGAAAGAGGAAGTCGAGCGATCATACATAGCTCTGTATGGCAGAAGGAATGTTTACCAAATTGAACAAATAACGAATTGAAGTATAGGGTTATGTAAGAATAATATAATAAATTATCATTCATCACATCGTCCATTGATCACAATGAATTCGCCACGAAATGCATGGTTTACAATGAACTTCATGCGGCTATTCATAGAAAAATCGTTTGAATCGACGCTGAATTTGGATGACACCGTTGACACCGCTCAAAGAGGGAAATATTCATTTGCTTTTTGATGAATCCTGAAGCGAGTATATTGCAAATGCAGGAACACTAAAACAAAAGCACAGAAAATAATTACTAATAGATAACTCATTTCGTAATTCATAATTGATACTATCGGAAGCCAATCCTCCATGCAGATCTTGGACGATGATACCACATTCGAGCGGCTATTCAGAGAAAAAACATGATAATTGCTATGCCTTTCTTTCTTAGCTAAATCTCAAGTATCACTATACCTAATCGGTTGTCATATTTCTGCAGAAAAGGCATTGCATGATTAATAACTGCTGACACAAACAAAAAAAATAATAATTGGCTTACATTTTATAAATCATTTTTAAAAACATTACATAAAATTCCTGTGTTAACTGGGACACCGTATTTGGCAAGGTATTCTATCCCTTTGGCAAGTATGTGTCGAAGTGTTCTTTTTTTTTCAAACCTGCAGATGTTAATGATGTGTCCCTCGTCGCAATCCCTCTCCTTCAAGGATTCCACTGTCTTCTTGGAACAGTAGCAATAAGCAATAACGTTCAAATCGAACAGTTTCCTCCACTCCTTCCGATCTCCATCTGCGTCGAAGGCAAGCGGTTTTGACATCCGCAAATACAGTAGTTATTATTCTGTACATCAAGGAAGAAAAAGGAACGAATCAAATCCTTACCCGTTATCTTCACGGGTCCACCCAGAGCGGCATTGTTGATGCAGACGTCAATGCCTCCCCATGTTTCCATGATTTGAGAAAACATTGCATCCACTTCCTCATCGTTGGTCAGGTCGCACTTTATGGCCATCATTGTGCCGTCATCTCCCAATTCCTCCACCATTTGCTATGAAAAAGGGAAAATTTGTTGAACAGTATTAAGCTAAATGCTTGATGCATACATTCTTCACCGAAGTTAGACGAGAGACACGAACCTGGATGCGATCGGCCCGTCTTGCACATGCAGCGACCTTCATGCCTGCTTTAGCCAATTTAATGGCAGTTGCTGCACCGATACCCGAACTCGCACCTGTCACCAGTGCTACTCTGCCCTTCCATCGCTCCATGAGTCTAGTAACTACTATTGTAGAATTTCACTCGGGTATTGTCTGTACATTTCGGATATTTGAGATGAATCATTAAAAATCACAGAAAACGTGAATTCACATTCTAATATCAAAAGTACAAGTATTTCATGGAAAACGAAATGGGTCTACTTCATTTTTTGCTTTTTTGCTTATTACCAAGAGCCAAAATGGCGGAACGCAGGATCGCTGGATATCTCCAACGAGCCCTTGGCTCAATATCTTTTCAACGGTAACATTTATTGTCACAACAATATTAACTAAAATGAAGTAACGGAAGATAACCCTTCCACTCTATACCAAGGATAAGATGCATCACATTCTCATGCGTTGAATCGTACTTCAATCCATTCAAGAGAGAAAACGTGATTAAGAACAACCGCATGAATGCAAGGAGGAAGAATGAATTTCGCCACGCGATGAACGAACTATCATCATATACGAGCATATGACTTATATTTCACTTTTAGAAGAAACTTCAATTAGCAAATTTAACACCACGAAAGGAAGGAAGCATCATATCATCATCATCATTAGTAACATCAGGAAGCAGAGTTTTTTTAAATCCATATTTCGGCTGCCGCCGCATTTCTCTCTATGCAGAGAGAAGCATGGAGAAGTGCATGTTAAATCTGCTAATGCTGATGTGTCCCTCGTCGCAGTCTACTTTTCAAGTGTGTCCACTGGCTCCTTTGCACAGTACCTATATGCAATCACGTTCAAACCGAATAATATCCTCCATTCCTTCAGTTCTACATCTACATGTAAGATATGCAAATTAAAACATATAGGGATTCCTATGCCACTGCAACATATCCATAACAGAAGCTGTCCTATTTGAACGGCATTATTGATGCATACGTCAATGCCTCTTCAAGTTTCCATGATTTGAGAAAACGTAAAATCCATTTCTTCATCATTGGTCATCTTGTACTTGATGGTCATCACCTTACGAAAAGGAAAATCGTAACGAATACAAAAGCATCACTCAATGCATGAATCCTGCATGAAGGAAATTCTGCATGATGAAGAAAAAAGTATCTGGATGGAGTCGACCTTCCTGGCACATGCACCAACTTTCAAGACTGGCTTAGCCAACTTCATGGCAATCGCAGGGCCAATCCCTCAATTCCAAACTGTCAGCCTATGTAGCCCTTCCATCGTTCCATGACCCTAAAGGTAATGGGAGAATTCACTCTGGTATGAGATGCATATACAGGCTATGTAATGTAAAATGCATCATCATACCAGCGGAAGCAGCAATTCATCGATACATATCGAAACGGGCACCAAGATCTACTGACCTTCATTGCAGATTAAATACGTCTAATTATTAACTTTTTCCTAATGCCTTCCTTATTGAGCATCAATACATCATGCATGTTTACATGAACACAACCGCCGAGCATTTGGCTCTTTATGTTAATGACGTTCAAGTTTTACCCCCATATAGTATTTCCACTAGAGGGAAATATGGGGAGACAAAACTTGCTTTTCATTTGCTGCCGAGAGTAATATACTGGGGTATACAGGGTGGGCCAAAAATAACAAAGCTATCATTTTTTGGTGAGTCGTTAATCTCTTCATAGGCTGCCAATTACGATTTAAATTGGTAGGCTTATAGGGTGAAACAATTCCGGTTTGTATACCAAATTTCAGCCATCTGGCTTTAAAATTACAGGAGTTTTAATTATTGATATTATCCGATTACCAACAACATGATGTGCTGTGGAAAATATCCATATAACCTTGAGATTATATCGATATTTTCCAGCCGAGATGAAAGGGAGGTAGTGAAAAAGTCAGAAAAATAATACTTTTTGGGGGTCTTGTTAAATTAAAAGAAGTGAAATCGGTCTGCAAAATGAAGCATTTAACCCTTATAGTGCCTCTGCCGATTAAAGCGACGCTACGAATTTCATTGAAAAAATCCAGTGTCGAAGATTGATTTTGCTGATTCTCAAAGGACCAAAGAGAATCTTGAGAAGAATGTGAACAGTGAAAACCGTGATACCATTTGAGCCGACTGGGGTGTCGCCGTGGGAATGAGGAGAAATTTGTGCGTTTTTAAAGCATTACCACAGCTGAATTACTGTTCCTTCTGGGATCTTGACTAACGTGATCCTGCCACCTTCTCTCTCGATCGTCCGTGTGCTACAAGATTCAGATATTCAATATAGTAAACTTCCATCATCAGACCTTACAATCCTAAGGTTTTTCCCTTAATCGAATTTCTATATCTTCCCCAAAAGCAAAAAAAAAAAACAATCTCTGTTAGCAGCCTCGAACTCAAACAGCTCAATAGTTTTGGGTCAAATTCTGATATGGGGCCTGCTCCCATGATGGTAAGAGCACTTAAATCTAGTTCCTCTATTGCTCTTGTACTCCCTTCTCTTCCTTTCGTTCAATTTTATCAAGTTTATCTCTCTCGAGATGGCAGGCGCCGAACCTGATGGGTTCCTTCACTGATGCTTCTGGATAAAAGTTCCTCCATGACTTTCAACGCTGCACTTCTTACGTTTGAAATCTATGCTAGTCATCGTTTATGTCACAAACGTCATGATTAATGAAACACCCAGATGATTATAGGAAGATCGAAGTGAAGACTCTGGACCACGTCTCACAATTTTTCCTGAGTTGGCCGCACCGTAATGTCATTCACCTGGTAAACGTGCAGAAAATTGTACGGATTATTTCTTTGCGAAGGTTACCTCTCATGAATTGCTCTTATGTTCCAACTAAAACATCATCTTCTACAATCCTTCCCAATTTCTAGTCCTTAATTTTAGAAATTCGAGGGAACATGAGAATTACGTCTCCTGGAGTAGTATGACAATGACAAAAGTGACAAGGAAAATGAGCAGCATACACACCTCAACGTGAGACGGAGCAGAGAGAATGAATTGAACCGCATTGGCAATGTCCTCTGGTTGCAAGAATCTCATGTTGGGTACTACTTGGGTCAAAATTTCTTCTGGTACGTTCTTCGTCAGTGCCGTCCACACCAGTCCCGGACATATTTACTTCAGAGAAAACAATTTTTTAAATTCGACTAATGTTTGTCGACAACAGTGTTGATGTTTGCGTCTAATCACTGCTGGAAATTATCATGACGGGCACAACTCCAGTCGAGTTAAAGGGATCAAGTCCTCCTTAATGAGGGTCATTTAGTACCTCTCGGAATGTGGTTCTCAAGTTGGAGGTTAATGGCAAGGCAGGGCCTTTTGAGTCTCTTCGCTCCAGGGCATAACGTTCAATTAGGGTTATCCCGTTCATCACCGTCCACCTTTCCCTACTTCTGCTGAGCTTCCACACCAGAGGCGATTAAAGAAGGGCTCTATCCATGGCATGATCACTTTTATGCATGCAGTACTCATTATAGCATGCACTCTTATTTTGGAGTCGTTCAAGTATTTCCCTCTCTATCAAGTGGAATTTTCATGAACTTAGCTCAGGAATACAAGCGTTCTCGCTGAAGATAATGGTGTAGAGGGGATGCGATATGCTGAATGCAGATAATATTCTAATAATAAGTCTAATGTGTAATGTCTGAGTTTTCACAACGTAAGGCACGGGTGTCAAACACAATTAGGCTGAGGGGGGAGGATGGAAACCTTCACGGGTGATTAGGGGCAACAATAAAAATCTACCACCGTATCTTTAATGCAAACAGGCTGAAATTTGCAGTTCTTTTCTGCAATCAACTGTTGAGGAGGACTTCACAGGCTGGACAAAATGGACTGGCGTTACGGGCCGCAAGTTTGACGCTCCTGATGTAAGACAAAAAAATTAACCTGATTGAAACTTCACAGTAATCTAATTATTAGTTCATCTCTCTTATTTGTCATAAACCTTAATCGTTTTGCAGTCCAACGGTTGACATTCGACACATTGTAAACATACGTGAATGAACATCTCGGTAGGAAAGACGAGTTAACAGAAGAAGGTGGTGTCTTTATAATAACAGTTGACATGTTTCAATTTTCGTCGGTCCGTCTGTCCCCCGGAGAACCGCATTGATTGATTTTTTCTAACTCGGCCCCATCAGAACGATTTGAGCCTTGGCCCACTCACGGCTCAGAACTTATTGGCCAACATAGCGTTAAGAGCCGAACCCGTAAATCGGATATTTCTAATCGGGCCTGCCCGCAGTCCGTCAAGGCCTCTAACCTAGAAGTCTCGGAAGTCTTCGCCCAGCTGTATCCCCAACCGCCCCAAAACCCTTTTATCGGCAGCAATGCTACGGTCGGCATGCCTCTCCCCCCCCCCTCCTCCCTTTATAAAAATGTAAGCATCTGCCCTTGAGTTTGCGTCATGTTGCATTACAGAAACATAAGATAACGCGTCTAGATTAATAATAAGCAGCCGCAAGAAACCGAACAATAACTGGTGGCTTTGTTCATTTGCTATTTCAGGGTTCCATTCATCTCGATTTCGTTTATGGCAAGTGGAATCTGAATACGAGAATAAGTACATACCTCACAGGTCTTGAAGAAGAGAATCTTCTGCATATGACATAGTCCTGTATTTCATCTGATCCACCGGTACCATGAAATACGGTGTGAAACTTAGGCCTACAGGCTTTATCTTCAGAAGCACGATCTTGTTCGTCTTCTTCCAGCGAAGGCCCAATATTCAGTAAAAGTTCCCCTCTTCCCCCCCCCCAGGGCAAGTCATGAAGAAGGGGCAAGAAGCTTCCCTTCGGGGACTCTCTTAACAATGACAAGGGTCCGAAGGTCACAAGCCCTAGCTCGCCCCTTCCCCGTTGCCTGTCCCCTTTCCAGGGCATATCATACTTGTACCGCCTAAACCAAGGTTGTCAAATTAGGCAATTTTGATCAAGGGTATCACTGCGCCATTGACAATAGCAACTTGACGATTGGCATCCTGACTGGTTTCTGCACGAAGCAACGAATAATTCCTGGATTCCTGAAAACTAAAAATGACCATTATTGTGTATTCAGAAGGTTATGCTACAGTTCTGTTACCAAATTTATAGCTTTTTCTCCGTTCAAAATATTTTCCCGCACAAGGCAGTGATTATTTCACAGAATCATCTGGCAGCCCTGATTCCTTATAACACCTCCAATTCCGCCTTCTCCACTCACCCATTCCGCTCAAACTTTTATCGATATCCCCAATCCCAATGAGGCCTTTTCATTTGAGCGGGAAAATTAGAATGATCATAATCCATAGAGCATCAAGTACTGCAGATACACAATCAACTTCTGAATGATTTTCAATCTGTGAATCTATTGTTACAAATAATTTCCTTGGTACCAGATCCGCGAATAGCTAATGGCGATTAATATTAAAGGACATTCTTTATGGAATTCTCAACTTACAGAAGGCATTACTCAATAATATATATGCAGACGGCTAATGTATTGTTCAACGAAACCAGGGGTCTGCAATCTTTCACTAATAGCGGGCTGGATTAGCATGGTTCAGCTCTATGACCGACTGGAGTGTAAAATTATATAATTGATTGTGATGGTGATCTTTCAAGAGGATGGAGTATATGAGGTTCTGAAATAAATAAATGAAATAAATCTCTTCGTAACCCCATCCTAACAAAAGGACGGTGGGGTTGGGCTCAACTGGGATGTGCCCGTCAAGTGGACGTTATGATCGCTTGGATGGATGGAAAGAATAAGTTTTAAAAAAAGACTCCATGATCAGATATGATGTTGGCAGACTCCCAAGCTACAAGCGTCCGTTGTTGCGTGAAATTGCAATATATATAATAAGAAAGTTATTATTACCGATGCTCGTATATTCCTCTTCATTTCCTTCAGCTCCAGTCGTAGGGATTCTGTGATGGCAGTCACGGCAAATTTCGTTGCAGTATAAAACTGATAGTTCAGTTCAGAAACCCAATGGCCGGCGATGCTGGAAACATGAACACGGTCTTTCTCAAAAATTGGAATCATGGTGCGTCGGAGTCTTTCAGAGAGTTCGAACGTAATTGAGAAAACATCAGATTAAATATTAATGTATCTCTGTAATCACTTAGCTTTGGTGTCTCGAGCTCTTAAGATACAAATGGGAAAGACGAATTCGAACGATCAAGGCACATTTTAAAATTGATTCAGGCACGTTTCCACGAAGTGGAAAATATGGTCATGTAAAGGAATATCATATAAATAAAAGTAATTCAGCATTTATACATCATCCCGCTCATTCATCACCGTGACTCAAAATAGCTTCAACGGCATTCACCGCGCTTCATGCAGCTGTTCATTGAATTTATGGTATCGATGGTGAACTCCGATGACACCGTTGAACTGCTCGAATCGCGACGCAGCTAATACTTCTTGATGAGTCGTGAAGTGAGACATCATCGGACTCAGAAACCCGTAACAGATATAAGAGCATTATTTATTTGGGATATTATAATATCTGACCCCAACTCGGGCCTGATTTTACCCCTTTTTTTAACTGCATCTCGAGAATCGCTCCACAAAAGCGACGGGAATTATTCTCTAGAAAAATCATATTCATAAGGTAATTCGGGGGAATATGGTCCTACAAAATGAAATATGGTCATAACGGCCTATCAAGATCGAATTTGACTTTTACAATGTTTCTATAATAATGAATCATATATCCTTTACTAAATCCCAGCAAGGTACATGCAAAAATCCCATGGGTATTGCGCCGTTGGTCCAAAGCGGCCATATTACCCGTATTGTTGGGGGAATATGGAAACTTCTCAAAAAAGAACTCAAGGTTTTCCATGTAGGTGTGAAATATGGTATAACATGCTGAGTACCTTGAAACATCATAAGGGAGCTTCAGCAGGTGAAAAAGAATTCATAAACTGCATTGAGGGCTAGCAATGAAGTCGACATTGTTATCCGACACAAGAACCTGTTGCAAAAAGCAGGATTGCGACGCTTTTGGCTTTGAGCAGCATTGCACGCGATTGGGAGCCCGTATCTGGAAACTGTGGGTGTGAGAGGAGTGATCAGTCATAAATTAAAGTGAACATGCGCTACGAGTGTAAAAAAAGGTGGTCTCACGTTGCAGGAAAATGCGTAATTTTTTCATGTATGGATAAAGAGTGCCAAAAAAATCACAGGAAGCCCTTTTAACTTTTTGTACGAGGGGCATTTACTCCCATTAAATTTCGTGCCACGAAAGTTTCTGTAGTACACCAGGCGAAACGGATGTCCAGGAGGCAGTGCATGAGCATATCTTCATGCACGGCCTCTTTATGTATTGCATATTTCGTTCAGATGTGCAGTACGTCTATACATATATCCAGAGGAAGTGCATTCGATGAACTTTTGCAGCCTAAGATCCCACATGAAAGGAAGCTGACTATTCCAATAGGCCAGTGCGATGCTAACATGAAATGAAGAATGTGCCCATATTCCCCCAAATTGGCTTCCATGACAAAATTGATAACACTGTCTGCAAACCGCAAGTGAAGGGGCTTGCACTTTGCAAAAGCATTCTGGAGAGACCATAGAAGAACTTTGAAGAAATGGTTTCTGCATCCATGCTGCTATTAGGAAATATAGGCTTAAGTTGCTGAAGGCCCATATTCGTTTCAGGGTCATGAGTCGGAGAATCGCATGCATATGACTTTCAAGACAGCGATGTATCCCGAAATCCTTTGAGAACTGGACCAATGATCAGTTCTAAACACAACGAAAATCGCATTTACTCTTCTTAAGAACAATTTTTTTTTTAATTTGTCAAAACTAATTATTTAGTCTGTAAGGGATTTACTGTGAAGGGCCATATTACCCCAATGACAATATTCCCACAAGTTACCATAATTAACATCTGAGAATTATTCAGAAACTTCTGATTATCACATCAAAATTTCATGAAAAATTAAAATCCCTGGAGATTTTACACGGGCAATATGTATCTGCCTGTGGGTTAATATATATTTTTGGTTAATAGATATGGCTATTTTTCAAACCTGCAAATGTTGATGATATGTCCTTCGTCGCAATCCCTCTCCTTCAAGGATTCCACTGTCTTCTTTGCACAGTAGCAATACGCTATCACATTCAAATCAATTAAACTCCTCCACTATTTCCGGTCTCCATCTGCGTCAAAGGCATGAATTTATGACATATGTAAATTCTTTTTCTTTAATGATGTATATCAAGGAAGAAAAAGGAAACAAATCTTATCCGTACCCATGATCTTCGGCGATCCAATTTGAGCAGCGTTGTTGATGCAGACGTCAATGCCTCCCCATATTTTCATGATTTGGGAAAACATGGCATCAACTTCCTCATCGTTGGTCAGGTCACACTTGATGGTGATCATTAAGCCTCCTTCTCCCAATTCTTTGACCATTTGCTAACGAAAAGGAGAATTTTAATAGACACCATAAGCCTGACGTATACATTCTTAATAGAAATTAGAAGAAATGGATGTACCTGAATGTGATCAATCATCCTGTCACATGCAGCCACCTTCAGGCCAGCTTTGGCCAATTTCATGGCAATCGCTGCACCGATCCCTGAATTCGCACCTGTCACAAGTGCGACGCGACCCTTCCATCGCTCCATGAGCCTGGCAGTTACCGTTAGTGAATTTCACTTTGGTATTACTTGCACCTGTCCGATATTTGATATGTAACACTATCATTCATTCAGATGTAGGAATTCAATGACTAATGCTAAAAATTGCAGCCAAGAATTGTAGGCCTCTCTCATGGAAGAGAAAATAGGTCCACTTGAAAACCTTTCCCTCTTTGTCTCTTCCCAAGACGACTTTCATTGAAAAAATCAAAACATTTTAGGTTAATCATTATTAATCATGAGCCTATTCTTTAGATGAAAATCCGCGACTTCTAATGAATCACTGGAAGCTTCGTTGAAGCACCGAAAAGCATAATACTCCAGGCAACCAACCATGTTAGGCCTTCGTTATTGATTATGGAAGCTTCAGGAACCTACATGGACTGTCCATGTAGGCCCCCAATGGCTTTTGAGCAGAATTAAACCTGTCTTTGTGGAAGCGAGGTCGAACAGGATTCCCAGAATTAAAACGAGATGGCTACCAGGAAATCGACATGGCGAGTAACTGAAACTCGTCTCCCATACTTTTCGTGCGGTGCATGCTTCTTTCCTAATGACAAGTTATGGAAAGATACTGATATTTTCCTGTACATTCGTCAAAACAGGTAGCAAGCCCCCAAGGATAGTGTTCGCAATTGTAGAGGAAGGAGGGTCCAACATGCAAAGACTTTCATGCCTGTCTTGGCCAACTTCTTGACAATAACAACGCCAATCCTAGCATTCGCACCTGTGCTACTCATCCCTTTCATCACTCCATGCGATGGGGTAATTTTACTCTGGTATGAGATGCATATGCATGCTATACAATGTGAAATACACCATAATACCTATGGAAACAGCATTTCAGTGATCGATATCAAAACGGGCACAAAGAACTAGACATTCACTGAATATTAAATAGGTCAATCAATAATTTATTCTGAATGAGTTTCTTTGTTGAGCCAAAATGCAACTTGCAGGTTTGCCGGAACACATCCGACGAGCCTTTGGCTCCGTATTTTGGTAACGTTTGAGTTTCTTCATCACAAATGTCCCCTAAAGAGAAGTATTGGGGGGGGGGGTTCTAAACTTATTTTTTATATGTTCCTAAGAGTGAGAAGCCTGGCTGACGAGCCTCATTGAATTAAATAGTGTACTGTAAGACCTAAGGTCATTCTCATGAAGGTCTCACTAAGTTTTTATCAACAGGGTATGGAAGCCGAATGAATAGTTATTCTCGGCACCTGACTCACATGGTAATCCTGTCTCCTCTCTCGATTGTCTGTATGCTATAGTATTAAGAGATTCAATGTGAGCTATCAGCATCACTTTCTTTAATCTTCACTTCTTTTGCTCTATTGAATTTCTACTTTGTCCCTTAAATGAGAAATGTCATCTCCGTTGGCAGCCTCGAACCCAAGTATCAATGTACATATTTGGATCGAAAATTCCAACTTGGGGCCAGCTCCCATGAGGGTAAGGGCACTTTAATCCAGTTACTGTTTTGCTCCAGAACTCCTTTTATTCAATTTTATCATGTTAACCTCACTCGAGATGGCAGACGCCGAACCCGATGGCTTTTTTCACCATAGGGACCTGCATGAAGGTTCCTCCATGGTTTTCCACTAAGTTCTTTATTTTTCTATATTTGGAAATATATGGTAGCCACCGTTTTCACCCCATGCATTCGATAAATGGAACACTCAGACGATTATAGGAAGATCGAAGTGAAGACTCTGGACCACGTCTCACATTTTTTCCTGAGTTGGCCGTATAACAATGTCATTCACCTGGTAAACGTGCAATAAATGAATCAAATTATTCATTTTCAAAGATTACGTTTCATGAATGGCGTTTGCTCTATTTTCGTCTGGAATATTATCGTCTATAATCTTCCTCTATTGCAGAAGATTAATATTAGAAATTCAGCGAACAATGAGAATTACATCTCATTATTTGGCATGATAATGAAAAGAGCAACTTAAGTGAAATGTGCTGCATACGTACCTCGACGTGAGGAGGAGCGGAGAGAATGAATTGAACAGCATTGGCAATATCTTCCGCCTGCAAGGGACACTTATCGGCTACGAATTGTAGCAGCTCTTCTTCTGTAACGGTATTCGCCATCTCTGTCCACACCAGTCCCGGACAAATTTGCTTCAAAGAAAACGTAGTTTGATTAATCCGGCTTAGTTGCCGACAGTTACCTAGGTTGCTTAGGTTTAACCATTGATGGAAATCACGAATTTTATGATCGCTTTAATGCATTGAAAGAGAGTTAAAGAAAAAAAGACATGAAGAAATACGATGTCGTAGATTTCCAAGATGGAGGCATAAGTTGCAGAAATTGCCGAAAAATGCTTACAGTTGCTCGGATATTCTTCTTTGTTTCCTTCAACTCCAGTCGTAAGGATTCTGTGATGGCAGTCACGGCGAATTTCGATACGGTATAAAGCTTGGGGACCATATCAAAAACCCAATGGCCGGCGATGCTGCAAACATGAACACGACCGTTCTGAGACATTTGAATCATTGAGCGTTGGCATCTATGCAGAGAGTCGAACGAGATTGAGAAGATCTATGATTAAGTGGTGAAGATGACTCTGTCATCACTCGATTAATAAGAAATCACCTTAAATAGGGACTAATCTTTCATCTCATGAAGCTCCGGGTATAGTAAATATAGCACTGCGTGAGCCGTTAAGGAAAGAAGAAGCAACAGTATGAAATGCCGTGTATAACGATCTCCAACTTAGTTTTAAATATTTATGACTGAGCTGAGCAGAGTGAATTATGCACACTCTGGCTAATATAATTAACCTCTGACCAAATGTAGAATGCCCTGTAAATACTCTAGGATTTTCACTTTCATAATATTTAAACAGATAATCGAAAAGTTGTTCAAATTTTCACCATTTCGATGGTGTTGAGCAAGAAATCCTAAATGCCCCTTTCTGACATCTTATATATTAATATATGCCAGGCCTCACCTTCTATTGCCTATTTTCTTCCGTTCATTCTTTTTTTTGCATATGCACTTTCTTCAATTGCAAGCACGACACGAAAGCGATGACATGTTGCAGTGATTTAAAAAAATATCTATCGTTTCTTCTCCCTCTCCAGAAAACTAGCCCCAGTACATTTTGGATCTTGTTACAAGACACCAAAGATACAATGAGTTTAGGCATTAGTTTTCTGCATTAAACAAAAGTTTCAGTCTATTTGGTGCAGCGGTTCATGAGATACAGCTACTGAGGAGAAGTCGATTAACCATGCAGTTTCAAAAAGCATAAGGTATTTGAAAAATCGGATCATATGAAGAAAAGCATGCAGATCAATATTATTACACATATTCATTTAACAATTTAAATCATCATCATGACTTTGACATGACTTCTACGGTCTTCAATGCAGTTAGTGCGGCTGTACATTACATTTTCACTGGAATTTACGTCGAATTCGGACGACACCGTTGATCCGCTCGAACCGGGATACAGCAGTTGCTTTTTTGTCCTGAAGCAAAATATCACAAGCACAGGAATACGAAACAGACGGCAAAACATGATTTACATTAGCAGATCCCAGAATATGACGCAACATATGAGCGGCAAGTCAAAGAAATTAACTAAAATAGATGCATGATACACTTTTTGAGTTGAAACTCAAGAATCACTTCACCAAATTTCCAGATTAGGGGTTCAAATTTAATGAAGCATTAAATTTTAAGAGTGTTAGGTGGAACACCCTGAACTTTTCTGAGGGGTGGAGATTTTTTATATTTATTTTAGCTAGTGTGTGTAGAAAATTCTCTATTTCTCAAACCTGCAAATGTTGATGATGTGTCCCTCGTCGCAGTCCCTTTCTTTCAGCGATTCCACTGTCTTCTTTGCACAGTAGCAATATGCTATCACATTCAAATCAAGCAAATTCCTCCAGTCTTTCCGGTCCCCATCTGCGTCGAAGGCATGCAATTTATTACATCTGTGAATTTTTTTACATCGTAAATCAATGAAGAAAAAGGAAACTAATCCTATTCGTACCAACGATCTTCATTGGTCCAATCTGAGCAGCGTTGTTGATGCACACGTCAATGCCTCCCCATGTTTCCATGATTTGAGAAAACATTGCATCCACTTCCTCATCGTTGGTCAGGTCGCACTTTATGGCCATCATTTTCCCTCCTTCTCCTAATTCGTTCACCATTTGCTAAAGAAAATAAGAATAGTGTTTACTAAAACCCCTATGAAGCTTTAAGATCGATGCATACATTCTTGATCGATGTTAGATAAGACAGAAATACCTGGATGCGATCAATCCGCCTTGCACATGCAGCGACTTTCATGCCAGCTTTAGCCAATTTAATCGCAGTTGCTGCACCGATCCCCGAACTCGCACCTGTCACAAGTGCTACTCGGTCCATCCATCGCTCCATGAGTCTAGGAGCTACTATTGTGGAATTTCACTTGGGTACAGTCTGTACATGTCGGACATTTGAAATGAAACATTAATAATCATTCAGACAACAGGAATCAACTGCATAATACAGAATGACAATAAACAATTGTAGACCTCTTTGAAGATGAAATGGATCAACTTCATAATTTTCCATCATTGCCTATTCTCAAGAGCCAATATGCAGTACGCAGGTTCGCTGGATCATTTCCAATGAACCCTTGGCTCCATATTTCATGAATCGTAGCATTTCCTTCGGAACAATATCAAATAAAATGATGTAACTGGAGATGAACCTATTATTTTCTGCTTAGAATGAGATTCATATTCAATAACATTCTTTTGAGTTGAATGAGTCTGTGCAATGATAATGTCCTTTTTTCATCTCATGAAATACATGACAAATAACTTCCTGAGTCTCAAATGTTGGCAAGAGAGAATTCCGAAGGAGATGCATAGGAGAGACCAATGTTGGAGGAACCTAGTCTACATCATGTGCATACATCCGACAATGGCTTACATAAAGCCGTGGGAACTTGCTATGAGGGTCGAAAGCCGATTTGCAACTTTGTGCCTTCAACTTGCACGCATGATTCAAACGTGCTTCACATTTTTCGTCGAAGTTCGCGCGCTCTGTTCGTTTTTACATGCAATCATTGAGATACGTTTTAACCGTATGAATGCAGCTTGTTGCGCATGCAATGTGAACATTTAAGTCAGTTTGAAGTGCTTCAAGACCCAATACCGAAGTTTTCAAAGAGGCAAAAATGCTTCATGATCCGGAAGAGATAGGCATACATACATATGAGATTATTATTCCATGATGTCCATTGCTTTCCCTCTATACTTCATGATACATGAAGGATTCGGATGCCAATGCCGGGATCAAAGGGAATGTTCCAGGCCATGTCTCATATTTTTTGGCGTGTCGGCCGAATAACCATGTCATTCACCTGGTGAAACGCAGACCCAAGAATTAATCATTCGCTAGAGCTGCTCACACAGTACATCACATCGTTTCGTTTTTGTTCGAGCTTTACCGGCAGTTTCAGATAGTTGCGTTCTTTTCTTAATTTCCAATGCTTCATCTTGAAAAATTCGAAGGAATTCCGCATTACCACCCACTTAAAGGAATGAAATCGATAGAAATAGTGCAAACGAGATAATAAATGATCAACTGGCCTCGACATGAGGAGGAGCAGAGAGGATGAACTCCACTGCATTGGCGACGTCCTCGACTTGCAAGGGATCCACTTTTGACGTAAGTTTAGACCGCATGGCTTCGTTCGCGTGCTTCGCTGCGATTTCTGTCTGCACACGCCCCGGACATATTATCTTCCAGAAAAAAATTGGGAATTTTCAATCTGAGGAATCAGTTGAGAGGGCTGTGAGGGGGTTCTCCTGATCAAATCGCAGGTGCAACTCACGACCTTTATGATCGCTCGAACACATTAAATATTGACATTAGATTAGGCGTCATGGTCGAGTGTATTCCCTTCTTGAATCCTTCGTTGAGACGAACGCTCCAAGTAAGCATAATGAATTTTTCGCAATTCTCACCGTTGCTCGGATGTTCTTCTTCGTTTCCTTCAGCTCCAATCGTAGGGATTCTGTGATGGCTGTCAAGGCGAATTTCGATACAGTGTAAAGCTTGGGAGCGACATCGATTACCTTATGCCCGGCTAAGCTGGATAATAAAATAAAGAAAGTAAAAATAAGATAATAAAAATAAGATAATAAAATAAAATAATAAAAAAATGCTCAGACTTTTCAATGAGCATTCAAATTCATCCGGGAGTTCGAACGCAGTTCACATCAGCCATCAAGAAATAAACGGGATTGACTTTCGCAATGCGCTGAACGATGAATGATTCCATAAATGTTTTATAATTTTTCCCCGCAAAGAATTTTCCAGAGCAAACGCCATTTTCAGCAAGGAGACAATCGATGTCGCGAAACAGCGCCAATATGCTAAACATTTAAATCAGCAACACCAAGTGCATGGGAAACTTCTTGGCGTCAAACCTGCCGATGTTGATGATGTGTCCTTCGTCGCAGTCCCTCTCCTTCAAGGATTCTACGGTCCTCTTGGAGCAGTAGCAAACTGCGAGCACGTTCAAATCGAGTAATTTCCTCCATTCGTTCCGGTCTCCATCTGTGTCGAAGGTATGTCATTTATTACGTGACCAATTTCCGTCTGTATTATAATATTTCTGCATTCGTATAGAAATAGCGACGGTTACAAGTCACAAGGAAGGTCATAAGTCCATTCAAGGGTTTTTTTAGGGGATGCGGAGTGCACCTTTGCTGTACTTCCCAGGAGTGAGAAGAAGGGACAATCGTTCACAATGGTTTCGAAATCTCCCCATCCGCACTGTGGGGTGACCTTGAGTCGCCATTTGTGCATTAGGTGCGTATATACTGCAAGTGGCGTTCTGATGCGGTTGATGGTCGACCGATGTCTTCGGAGGAGCCAGAATCCGGGTGATTTGTCCGTAGGAACGTCGATGAGCTGCTTGCTTTTTATGGTGGATCCTCCCATTTTATCTGTGAGGCGTCTTCTGGGTTGAAATGCCTGGAGAGTTTCTCCAGCCGTCCAGAATGCTGGGCGGGACTTGAGGCGAGCCGGAAAAGGGAGGATGTCGTCGTCACGAAGCGGGAGCTTTTGGTCGAGCTTTCTCGTCCTATCGCAATGCAGCCATCTCTCGCCGGATGGTTCGTGGAGAAACGTTCGCGAGGACTGGAAGCCAAGGTAAGGATGTGGGCTCCAGGGTTCCAGTTACCAGTCTCACATCGAGCTGGGTATCGACGAGGTCAACGTGGGAGCGCCTTCCCCAGACGGGTCCGCAGTTCTCGGCCGTAAATTAAGGCCAATGCGTCACATCCCAAGCTATAACCTGCTGGTGCGGCTCTTCGTTTTATGGCTCAATTTCTTCAAGCATCGATGTGAGGCTGCGATCGAAAGAGGCTCCGAAGTGGTTGGGGTTGAGATCGTGGGCGATTTATTTGTCGCGGAAGTTTTCGTTCGGAGTCCTCTTAGCTTTAGAATTGCCGAGATGGAACGCTGACGATATCATTTTTGATACATTGGGTTCGAGCCGTCAGTACCGGGAGTAGTTTTTCGTTCCCTTCAGGTCGGCGTTGAGGGTTTATTCCGCTTCCTTGAGTGTTGCTGCCTGTGGCGCTAGTGCCAGGTCGTCGGCATAGGCGACCTTGCAGCATCTCGTTTTGGGCATGTCATATATAAGCATACATACTAGGGGGTTGCAGTATACCGGTATTTTCATCATACCGCGATATTCGGTTCTCGCGATAATCTTACCGACCCCTCCAACATGTCCCGGCATTATCGTCACGGTATGGACACCGCCTCTCACCATACCGCCGCCACTGCGCCATACCTGAAGAACCACTTCTAAAAATAAGATACATCATCAACTTTCCTCCCCATCTCCATCCACGGTGACGCCCACCGCCCGGAAAACCGCCTTCCTAGAAATCACCTGATTGCATTTAATCCGGACTCAAGGATCAACATACGTAATTTGTGGGTTCGACTTGCGCCTTGACTGCGCCTTCTGCTCTGTGTGCCTGAGCACTCAATATCTACGCCATCAGTCGACATTGGAGACATTGACATCGTCGTCAAACCCAAAGCGACCTCTTGTATTTGGAGGCATTTTGTAACGACACCATAACGATAGAAAGACGCCCTCTCTTCTTGAGGCTTTTCCTGGGAGTTCGTAACTGAAGCAGCCACCCCCCCTCCCCCACCCGATGCAAGAACCTCATTTCTGCATCTCCCCACCCTCACCCACGACCAAAAGCACCAGGTCACGGATACTGGCTGCCGCACTATGCCACATATACACAACGGCTTACAACATTTTCTTTAACACTCGACGTTTACGCAATGTGCGTAACGTACACGTATGTGCAGAAATCACGCCCTCCACCAGAAATCACGCCAGAAATCACGCCCTCCACCCTCCATCGCGTTCCCGCCTTCAGATCATAAAAGTTGAACCCCTTTTTGTAAATATAGAAGCGTTCCCCACGAGACCGGGCTTTTGACTAATCCGCCGTACGTACAGGTTAAATAAGAGTGGTGCTAGCACCGATCCCTGCGGAAGGCCATTGCGCAGGCGCCGCTCTTTGCTCGTCTGACTTCCGAGATGCAGGCGGAACGTTTCGTGAGAGAGATCGGAGTTGGATCGGCCGGTCGCAGGCGATAGAGGCTGCGGGTTTTGGGGGTCATCGGGCGGCTTTCAAGGTTTTTAAACAGCGATGACCTTTGATCTTTTCCAGGCTGTTGGGACCTTTGCCGTCGGTGATGGCTCCCGTGAATAATGCCGCCGTCCAGTCACGCTCTCTCGGCCCGAGGCGTTTCAGGAAGCCAAGGAGAATTCCGTGGACGAAGCCGCTTTCCCTGCTTTTGTAGCAGAGAGGCCAGCGTCGATCTTCTCCCTCGGCTCTTGTGAAGATTTTTTTTTTTTTTAGTCCTGCTTTCACCTCTCTTTTGCAAGTCAGCTTACGGCCGTCATCGAGTCGCCTCGTAAGGAGATCGACAACGCTGTCGGCTGTGGCTTCCGTGCTTGTGACGGCGCCGCTCCAAGTGCCCGTGCTCCACGGCTTGAACGCGTAAAACCCTAGGAGCGACTCGCTCTCTGGGCTCCCGTGGCCGTGAAGTTGTTCTTCGTGGCTTCGATAAGAAGTTTCCCTTCTTGAAACGGTCATAATTTTCTCGGTTTTAGTGGTTTGCGATCAATGGTTTTTTCGGTGGAGAATCCCGGCCTGTCCGCCGGTCTCAAGTTCCTGCGTAGTAATGATACGCTGGTAATGACCGGAAATTCGAGGGAGCACCACCACCACCAGCCTGCACTGCCTGTCGCTCACTTTATCATACTGCAAATCAGTGGCGACTCGTGGACGAAAAATCTGGGGAGGCCAGCTCACGATCTTCACAATAAACAAGAATTCGTTTAGTTATTAATGGGAGCATGTAGCAAGAAAGGCGTGCTTATGTTTTGTGTCAGTTGAGAAGTAATCCCATGATGATCCGAGATTTCGGCTGTTCCTAAACTAACCGAAACTAACAAGAGATTCTCAACTCCATCTCAGTATGTCATATCAGGTTCAGATATAGAGCTCTATCAATCCCAAAGTCCGGGGGCAGGATTATTAACTCCCCCCCCCTCGAGACGATGAGCTCGGCTGAGCCCAGGTCCTTGAGATGTGGGCCCTCCAATTGCGATACAGTCGAGACTTTTTTCCGTTATTTGCTATCCTTAATGGATATTTTCAATTGGATGGGGAAGGGTCTCCAGAGAATTTCTCGGGAGGCCTCTCTTGCCTCCCCTGACAAGCTGTCAATGCTGCGTATCAAGGAAGAAAAAAATATTCAGGACCGGCCTTAGGCATGTGCCACATGTGCCCCTGCACAGAATGAATTTGCGTCCTGCACAGGGCGCAAATTCACAAGGGGCGCCTAAACGTGCCAGAATGAATGAGCAATAATGAAGGCTACCCTCAGTTTTACTTAAGAAACTGGAAATGCCATCCGTTTCTACGTCTTTTTGAACTCTAAGAATTGACACTTCTCTCTTCGAGGAGAGTGTGGGAAGTGGGGGGAGGGGGGGGGGGGGGTGGGGGGGGGGGGGGGGGGGGGGGGTTGGGGGGGGGGGGGGGGGGGGGGAGGTGAGAAATTTGTGTCTCTCACCCTCACCTCAATCGATGCAATTAGGGGTTATATTTGACTATGACGCTCTATTTTTGTTAAAATCGAATGCGCTCTCTGCACAGTGCCCCGAAATAGCTAAGGCCGGTCATGGAAATATTATCTGTACCTGTGATCTTCAGAGGTCCTAATTGAGCGGAGTTGTTGATGCAGACGTCAATGCCTCCCCAACTTTCCATGATATGGGAAAACATGGTATCTACTTCCTCATCATTGGTCAGGTCGCACTTAACGGCCATCATCGTGACTTCATCTCCCAATTCTTCAACCATTTGCTAATGAAAAAGGAGAATTTTAATGAATACAATATGGCTAAAACCTCAATGCATGTATTCTCGATTGAAATCAGATGTGAGGCACGTACCTGAATGTTGTCGACCCTCCTTGCACATGCAGCCACCTTCAGGCCAGCTTTGGCCAATTTCATGGCAATCGCTGCACCGATCCCTGAACTCGCACCCGTCACAAGCGCGACCCGACCCTTCCATCGCTCCATGAGTCTAACTAGCTACTATCGGGGAGTTTCGCTTTGGTATTAATTGCACCTGTTGGATGTGTACGATAAAGCAATATTATTTTGTATGATACAGAAATTCACTGACGTGAACCAAAGCAATTACAAAGAACAGTTGACTTTTATTGAAGATTTAGTAGGTCCTCTATATAATTTTTCTTAATTGCTTCTTCTTCAGGGCCAAAATGCGGCACGCAGGTTCGCTAGATCACTTCTAACGAGCCCTTGGCTCTATGTTTCATTAATGGTAACGTTTTTGTCTCAGCAATATGAAGCAATATATATTTACATATTTTCACAGCGTCTTGCTTTTTTTTCCGTGCGTCACGATAAAAAAAGCATTCCTGATAAATGCAGTTCTTGGATGCTAATGCCGGGATCGAAGGGAATCTGGAAGGCCACGTCTCATATTTTTTGGCGTGTCGGCCAGATGACCATGTCAATCACCTGTTGAAATGGAGAAAAACCAGCAAATACTTCTCATGTCCATCAGCTACTCGTACATCAAATAGTAAAACTCGAAAAAAACGAAACTGACAGTTTGAAATGGCTACGTCTCAATCTTACATAACAGCAAGTACTTCATCTTTAAAAATTCGAATGAAACTAAGCATCGCCTCGCCTTAATATGGGAAACAACGGAAAGCGTGCACGAACGAAAACGAGAAGCCAACTCGCCTCGACGTGAGGAGGAGCAGAGAGAATGAACTCCACGGCATTGGCGATGTCATCGGCTTGAAGGGGATCCATTTCTGACATGAGTTTCGACCGCATGTTCACAAACGTCTCCACCATATCCGTCCACACCAGTCCCGGACATATTTTCTTCGAAAAAAAAGCGGGAATTTTCAGCTCGACCCTCCAGTTAAGAAGATTGTGGGGGTTCTTTACATCAAACCGCTGCTGAAACTTGCAGCCTTCATGATCGCTCGAGCGCATTCGATTTTAACAAAAATAGAGCGTCATAGTCAAATATAACCCCTAATTGCATCGATTGAGGTGAGGGTGAGAGACACAAATTTCTCACCGTTGCTCAGATGTTCTTCTTCGTTTCCTTCGGCGAATTTCGATGCTGAGTAAAGCTTGGGGGCGACGTCGAATACCTTATGCCCGGCTACGCTGGAGAAGGTAAAAACAGTTTCTCAAGGATGCGGAAATTCCATCCGGTAAGGCGGACGTGGTTCACATCAGTTACCATAACTTAATGGTAGAAATTTACTTTCACAATGCGCTGAATGAGAAATGATTCTTTAAAGATCTTAGGAAGTCTCATCAAAATCGAATTTAAAAGGGCGAAAGTCATCATAGCAAGAAGAAATGTGTTGGCATGAAGCAGCGTTGATGTATGCTCAATCAACAAGTTGCTTACTGTATTAAGTTTGCGACACCAAGTGGATGGGAAAATTCCTATGCATCAAACCTGCCGATGTTGATGCTGTGTCCCTCGTCGCAGTCCCTCTCCTTCAGGGATTCAACGGTCCTCTTGGAGCAGTAACTAGCACCAATCACGTTTAAATCGAGTAATTCCCTCCATTCCTTCCGGTGTCCGTCTGGGTCGAAGGCATGCAATTTGCAACATTTGCGGTTTCTGCCTGAAGCAGATATGGTCAAAGAAAAAACGAATCGTGCTCGTGCCTGTGATTTGTGGTCCTAATTGAGCGGCGTTGTTGATGCACGCGTCAATGCCTCCCCACGCTTGCAATACTTTGGGAGAACATGGCATCCACTTCCTCATCATTGGTCAGGTCGCACTTAATGGCCATCATCGTGTCTTCATCTCCCAATTTGTTAACCATTTCCTGACAAAAAATAAAATTTTAATGAACGCAAAATGACTAAAACCACAATGCACATATTCTCGATTGAATTCAGAAGTCAGAAACATACCTGAATTTTATCAAATTGATTTTTATCGAAACATACCTGAATTGTATCCACCCTCCTTGCACATGCGGCGACCTTCATTCCAGCTCTAGCCAATTTCATGGCAGTCGCAGCTCCAATGCCCGAACTCGCACCTGTCACAAGTGCGACACGACCCTTCCATCGCTCCATTAACGAAGAGCTTCTCCTTTGGAAATTAATCTTGTATTAATCACATCTGTAATTGAAAATCTCGTAATTGAAGATTAGATTCCAATTAAAACTTTGCGTTGAACATTTCTCATCTAGAGCCAAAATGCAACCTGCAAGTTCGCCAGATCACATCCGACGAACCTTTGGCTCTGTATTTCATTCGCGTTTAAAATGTTGTCCATGTTCACGCAAACGAAGCAACGGGAGAAGAAATATTTTTATTCGATGCAGAGAATATGCATATCCAGTCACATCTAGACGAAGTTGAAGGAACTTTTTCTCAAAAGGCTTATTTCTCGGCGGTTACATGGAGTCTCTTTTCCTGCTTTCATGCCTCGACATATTCACCAGTTTCAGGACAAAAGTGAAACGGCAAGGTCGAGGAAATTAGCTTTTCTACCAGCAATAGCAATAATGAGGCGAACAATTGACTCGAAAAAAACTCATGGATGACCCGAAAGCATCTTCTGGGAAGATCAATAGATGCTGATCATAACGTAGCAGCCGCTGCTACCAAGCCACTCTTAATAAGCGGCAATGCAAATTAACTCTAAGAAGTTCGGTATGGCCACCAGGCGGCGTACGTTTTAGAAAAAGTACCAAGAATAAGTACGCCCAGGAACGACCTTTGAGAACTTGAAATTCCCACGCTGTTTCAGTTGAACATTAACCACCTCTTGACCATTACAAATAATTTTTTTCCAATTATATCTCACTTAAACAGGCGAGTTGTACCACGTCTGATGGGATTATCAAACGTTAATTTTGAAAGTCATTGGAAATGGCAAGCAATTAAAAAAAAGTATAAATTTCTGACACCATACTGTATATTTTAGAATCCATGTAAGCAGACACAAAATCTCCACATACATCGCTCAAAAGGATTCGCAAATATTGGCTTGGCTAACCTAGTCCCTCCTGTTCCTTGTTTTTTTAATGGCTGTCACTGTTCCGCACAGTTTCACAGTTTGCGCACAGATACATTCTAACCAGGCGCATATTGAAGTATTGAATACTTAAATGCTCAGACTAAAAAATACTTCTCAGATTTGACATCTCCGGCAAATTCTTGAACACGAAAAGTAAGAACGAAGATATTATATTAAGGAAAGGTATACTATTCTTAATTTAATATATTAGGTCTCCTTTCTAATTTCCTTCCCGGACACTTCGATGAGACGACTTGATATAACCATACATGAACTTTACCTAGGAATCAAATTAAAGGTCTTTGATTAGACAAAATCTCAAATTGGAGAAGCGTCCCGAAGAACGTGCATCACAAACTCATACTGAACTACCAGTGCTGCGATGCCAACGCTGGTATATCGTGGACCCTGACGAATTTTCCTCATTCCTTGACGACGTTAATCGCGAAAGACTCCACAAATTTTCATTTAATTTCCTTTATTGTACATCATGGCCGCGTTTAGAACTAATATATTCAAAATATCAGAAGCTCCAGCGGCATGCAGCCTTTAGCGTGGGGGGAAGCAGATTTCCTTGCAGGCAATCACTCAGATACACATATGACCCAATAAACAAAAAATACTGTATATTGTGCATGCAATGCGTGTGATTCACATATACTTCATTTTTGGCACCGTTCATTGTCCTCACTCCATGCCCTGCGATAAATGGAATACTGATGCTCGGGCGAGGAACGAAGGGAATCTGCACGGAGAGGTTTTACATTTTTTGGCGTGTCGGGCGGATGATCATGTCATTCACCTGGGAAAGTGCAGAGAATGAAGCAGATCATTCATGTGCACATGAAAATATGCCAAATATGCATTTCATATACACGGGTTTTCCACCAGTTTTGAACAATTACGTCTATAATCCTCCATTCTTGCAAGCAATGAAACTTTTAAGCTGAGCATCGAAGGATGCAATAACAATGAAAGAGTCCGCACGAGGAAATGAGCGGCCGACTCGCCTCGACGTGAGGAGGCGCGGAGAGGATGAACTCCACTGCATGGGCGATGTCCTCGGCTTGAAGGGGATCCAATTCGGTCATCAGTTGAGAAATGACTTCTTTTAGCTCTTCTTTCTGCACAATTTCCGTCCACACCAGCCCAGGACATATTTGCTATGAGGTAAATCCGGAATGTTCATTTTGACCATTTGCTTCATGAGATGATAGAGGGTTCTCCGTGGGAATGAAATTCCTGAAACTTACGGTCATCATGATTACTTCGGCACAATTTACATGAAGACGAAGGAAAAATTAAATACGATGTAATTGCAACAGATATAAGCTCGGCTTAAGCGTAAGACATTTATCAAAATTATTACCGTCGCTCGTATGTTCTTCTTCGTTTCCTTCAACTCTAATCGTAGAGCTTCTGTGATGGCAGTCACGGCGAATTTTGATGCGGTGTAGAGCACTGGGGCCATGTCGAACACCCAGTGGCCAGCAATGCTGGAGAAGATGAGCACAGCTTTCCTCAGAGTTTTCAAAGAGCATTCGAATCCATGCGATGAAGATTAAATGGTACAGATGAACAATCTGAATTAGAAATGTAAAAAGGAACACTCAAGAAGCTGCGTCGTACCTGCCAATGTTGATGATGTGTCCCTCGTCGCAATCCCTCTCCTTCAAGGATTCAACTGTTTTCTTTGCACAGTAGCAATATGATATCACGTTCAAATCGAGTAAATTCCTCCACTCCTTTCGATCTCCGTCTGGATAGACGGCGTGCAATTTATAACGTCTGTGGAATCTTCTGCAGCTCTCTCTCAAACATGAGATGAGGATGGAAAAGGTCGGGAATGTTGTACATACCTGCGATCTTCTGTGGTCCAGCCTGAGCAGCGTTGTTGATGCACACGTCGATGCCTCCCCAGGTTTCCATGATTTGGGAAAACATGGCATCCACTTCCTCATCGTTGGTCAGATCGCACTTGATGGCCATCATCGTGCCTTCATCTCCCAATTCTTCTGCAATTTTCTAGCGAAAAGGAGAAGTTTAACTGAAGAAAGTGCTAAAAACTCTATGCATCGATTCATACATGGTGGGCCACGACTATTCACACCGTTAGTTTCAGAACAAAAAGGATATGATTAGTCAGGAGTATGTATTTTAAATAGAGTGTACTCCGTTCTTCGGAAGCTATGGGGGGGAAAAAGAATTGCCGTTGCGCGTCATAAACTCATACGGTACGAATTAAATTGGACGGGCATAGTTCCATTCCTCTTTCAGCCCGAACCTTAATCGATTCAGATTGCTTGAGTTCATATTTGGACACTTACTTCCAGGAGACTCCACATGCAGTAATGTATTGAATTCCAGTCGGAGTTGTAAGGGGGTCGTTCTTGTTCGATGATCACTTTTGCAATATGTTTTGTTAGACGTTTTTCTTTTTAAATCAATTAATGTGACTTTCAGAAGAAGTCGTGTTGAATCACCCAAGATAGGCCACTAAAGAAACACTCCCATATAGGTATCACACAAATTTTTTTACCTTTTTCTGGGCACGCAGAGATACAGGGTGTCTTAAAAAAATCTATACACACTTGCATAAGGAGTATATATTAAATAATTCAGAGAGGGACGTTGTTTAATGTGACATGTACAGTAGTTAACAGATGACAATCTGTAATGGAATGATCGTGTGTCATCAGGCAATATTTTCCCACGAGACAGCCGTGTCACGCCAGATGACACAAGCTCACTTGACCTTAGAGCAATGTAAGTTGATTTTGAAGTGATTCTGGAAATCTGAGAACACATTTGAAGTGCAAAGAAGGTGGAGAAATGAACTTGCAACTATGCCATCATGATGTACTAGAACTTTCAAGGATTAATGATAAGTTTGATGCTGATGGTACAATGCATGGTCTCCCAGAACATTCCTAGGACGGTAATGCATATAGAACTCACCAACAGTCAACTGTCAACGGCGCCTGGATGCTAACGGTGAAAAATTTGAACATCTGTGATAGTGAACCATGCAATTCAAACCCTTGCTTCTCCACACACTGAACATTGTACCTCTCTGAATTACTTAACATATATTTTTATTTTTACTAGAGTATGTATACATTTTTTAAATATTTTTTTTTAGATTTTAACTCTTTAAAAGTTACATAAGGAATGGAGTACTAATGGCCCACCCTGTACGTGGAGGCCAGATTAAGCAAATTTACGTGGATGCGATCGATTCTTCTCGCACAAGCAGCCACCTTCATCCCAGCCTTGGCCAACTTCAAGGCAGTCGCTGCTCCGATCCCCGAACTTGCACCTGTCACAAGTGCCACTCGGCCCTTCCATCGCTCCATGAACTAAGAGCTTTTATTGGGGAAATTCAACTTGTAATAATGGAACCTGCTGGTTAATGTGAAGGAAAGCATTTTACTTGCGGGATCGACAATTCGTTCACGAACACCAAGTGCTGATCAATGATCAGATAGGTCCAATGTAAACTTCTGCGTTGAACATTTCTCATCAAGAGCCAGAATGCAAGATGCAAGTTCGCCAGATCGCACCTGACGAACCTTTGGCTCTGTATTTCATTCACGTTGTATGCTCACTTGAACGAAGCAAAAGGAGACTAAACTTTTATCTTATGTTTTTTCTTGCTTTCTATTTATAAGAAAATTACTTTTTTTTAAAGTTCACACTCGCATTAGATGTATTGCATTTATTTCCTGTTCGATAGTAATCCATTTCATTAAAATCATTCTCGGACAAGAATCACGTAATTTCTCACGAAAGTAGTTCAAAATTTCTCCTTCCCAGTCGCAGTGAAGACCAGGCCCCAGGAGAAGCCCCTTTTAGCCCACGCGAGCCGTTTCAAATGGTCATTAGGAACAGCTTCTCTCACAGCGCATGTCCCGCAGCATAAACCCAGCCCTATGAATGGGAAATCCTGAGGAAATCCCCCCTTACCCTTTTTCCTGTCGAAGGCCTGATCTTAATCGGCATGGTAACTTTTAGCAACAATCCCAAACAACTGCGGGCAACTCTACATTTCCACCGAGAGGCCGGACTAAGGAATCGCGTTCGGTGCATAAGTACCAGGAAGAGGGACCTCTCAGAACGACCTTGAAAAAGTGAAGTTTCACGCTTTTTTCGCAGAACATGAACTGCCTCCTGACAATTACGCCGAATATTTTCTATTAAATTTTACTTAAAATGACGATTTTAAGAAAATCCACATCTGACGAGATTATGAAGCATTTACTTTTAAATTAATTGCAAATGTAATTTAAAGAGAACAATCGAGGTCAAGAAACTTTTGATATGCAGATAAATATATCCGAGAGCTCCGCTCGACCGACGGCTATTGGAGTTTTCCGTTTGCTCGGATTTAAATTCGTTTATTTCTAAGCTGTGATTTAACACCTCTGGCCAAGTCTTGAATTCGAGAGAGGAGACTCGAAATATTATATGGAATTGTATACCATTCATTAATGGTATACTTAAATTCCTTAATCGCAAGTCTCCCCTCTAATAAGGGGAATACTTAAAAATGACTTAAAATAACCATTCACAAACATCTCCTGGTTACCAGACAGAACATTTTTTATTAGACGAAGCCTCTCGAATTGGAGAAGCGTCCGAAAGAGCAGACATCTCACACCCGTCCTGAACTGCCAGTACTACGATACCAGTACTTTATACCAGTTCGTACCAGGACTGGTATACAATGCACCCAAACGGATTTTCTTCATTCCTTCAAGGCGTTCTTCACAAAAGACTATGCACATTTTTATTTTATTGATTTTATTGTGTATCATAAGCGCGTTTTGAGTTGATAAATCCTTGATATATTCATCACTGGCACCTTAGTGCAACGAGAAGCAAGTTTCTTTGCAGGCACTCAGATACGCGTATGGCCTTACGAACGAAAAACTGTGTGTATTGTGCATGCAATGCGTAAGTAATTCACTCTCATATGAACATTCACAACGTTCACTATTCTCACTTCTTGCGCCGCGATGAACGGAATACTGATGCTCGTGCGAGGGAGTCTGCGCGATGAGGAATTACAATTTCTCGCGCGTCGGGCGGATGATCATGTCGTTCACCTGGGAAATCGCAGAGAGAATCGAGAGGGTCATTCATATGCAAGGCAGAGTGCAAATAGATCAAATACACATTGCCTTTACTCAACTTTCCCACCAGTTCGGAAAAATCCCACTTACATTACTCCGCTCTTGAAAACACTGGAAACTTTAAGTTACTTGAGCATCGAAGGATGCAATAGCAATGAAAGAGTCCGCACGAGGGAATGAGCGGCCGACTCGCCTCGACGTGAGGAGGCGCGGAGAGGATGAACTCCACTGCGTGGGCGATGTCCTCGGCTTGAAGGGCATCCAATTCGGTCATCAGCTGGGAAATTAATTCCTTAAACTCTTCTCTCTGCACCATTTCCGTCCACACAATCCCCGGGCTTATTTGCTTTAAGGTAAACACGAAATAATTAGTTTGACTATTTAGTCCAGGAGACAGTTGATGGTTGGGTCAAACAATTGCTTTGGCAAAATTGACATGAATACAAAAAAGGGAAAGTTGATATCCTTGCATGAGAAGTGTGCTCCAAGTAAGCACAGTAAATTTGTCGAAAATCTTACCGTTGCTCGGATGTTCTTCTTCGTTTCCTTCAGCTCCAATCGCAGGGATTCTGTGATGGCAGTCACGGCGAATTTCGATGCAGTGTAAAGCACTGGGACCACGTCGAACACCCAGTGGCCAGCAATGCTAAAGAAGATGAAACACGGTTTTGCTCAGACTTTTCGAAGAGCACTGAAATCCGGTCGCGAGATGTCGAACGCGGTTCACGTCAGCCATCAAGATTAAATAATATAAATGGACTTGCCATAACAATCTGAATTAGAAAACGTAAAAAGGTTGCGTGCTTTTTTCGACCCAGCATGGACGTTTACAACTACTACACAGGGAGCAGCGTTAGAGAAAGGAAGTTCCTAAGGTGACAAAAGAAACGTGTCATCGTTATACTATAGTGCAAGTTTAGCTCAATATTTCTCCACTCCTTCCGGTCTCCGTCTGGGTCGAAGATATACAATTTATAACAGCCGCAGATTCTTCAGGAAATACATGATGAAGAAAAAAAGGTTAGAAGTCTTAGGCATACCTACGATCTTCTGTGGTCCACCCTGAGCAGCGTTGTTGATGCACACGTCGATGCCTCCCCAGGTTTCCATGATTTGGGAAAACATGGCATCCACTTCCTCATCGTTGGTCAGGTCGCACTTGATGGCCATCATCGTGCCTTCATCTCCCAATTCTTCTGCAATTTTCTAGCGAAAAGGAGAAGTTTAACCGAAGAAAGTGCTAAAAAAAACTCTATGCATGGATTCATACATGGTGGGCCACGACTATTCACACCAAATCAAAGTCTTGTTTTTCCTATACTAATCAGTCCTCATACATAAAATTTATCTCACATGAGGCAAGAAGCCTTCGATACCCCCCCTTTTTCTTAACGGCAACGCGCAGTATTTGAGTATGCCATGCAATTAAATTGGACGGGCATAGTTCCATTCCTCTTTCAGCCCGAACCTTAATCGATTCAGATTGCTTGAGTTCATATTTGGACACTTACTTCCAGGAGACTCCACATGCAGTAATGTATTGAATTCCAGTCGGAGTTGTAAGGGGGTCGTTCTTGTTCGATGATCACTTTTGCAATATGTTTTGTTAGACGTTTTTCTTTTTAAATCAATTAATGTGACTTTCAGAAGAAGTCGTGTTGAATCACCCAAGATAGGCCACTAAAGAAACACTCCCATATAGGTATCACACAAATTTTTTTACCTTTTTCTGGGCACGCAGAGATACAGGGTGTCTTAAAAAAATCTATACACACTTGCATAAGGAGTATATATTAAATAATTCAGAGAGGGACGTTGTTTAATGTGACATGTACAGTAGTTAACAGATGACAATCTGTAATGGAATGATCGTGT